TGCCCCGAAAAGAAATATTGCATGCGTCACTAAATTATTTCGATGGCTTTGTTAGGTGTCTAAAATAGGCACAGATAAATTATTGATGAGGTATCGGGTTTAAGCAAACTTTACATTGTTGAAAAGTTTGTGCGTGACTGAAGATCGATGATATTTTGTTTTTGCACCGTCCTTCTACGCATGTAGAATCGATTATACATATGTATCGATTATAGGACACATATTTGTCGCCCACATTTTAACATTTTATGCCATTGTTTTAACTGTTAATCAAAACTAAAGAAAAGCGTTTCCAATTTGTTTTTCTCTTTTACCGATAAGATTTTCTTTCTGTCCCATGAAAATATTTGATACTAGAAATTAATGATAAATTAAAATAATGATTGACATATGATTTTTTGTTCGATCGCATTGTCCACAATTACGGAAGAAACATTTTCACGGTGTTTATCATTGGTTAAGCTAAGCTTTTTTACGTCCGTCTAAAAACTTATTTTGCCTTACGTCACGCAGACAACATCGTGTTTACAGTTAACATTAGAAGGCTAAGCCGTTTTATTTCTTAATAGAAAACTTGTGTCCATTGTATACGTTCTCTTTATGTAATACTTCTTAGAACTCAATACGGATGGTGATCGATGAAATAAAACCCGAGTTAGATAATAATCGAGTTGTAATTGGATACCATCAGTCATCAAGGTGCATGCGGCCTCGATTAAGCTTCTTATATTCAATGTAATATGGAAATTAATATATAAAAATATTGATAAAATGAACTCTATTAGTTACGGTTGTATTTTATTAGTAGCACTTACGTAAATAGATTAAACAGACGTTTATATTATTAGCGATTAGTTTTAAATTGCAAATAATTTTGACTAGTTATTTAATTCCTAGTGTAGTCGGCACTATCTTGGTTGTCGTAAATAAATGTATTTAGAGCGTAGGTCGGTATTTTATGCAAATGAGTTATTATTGTCACGATTTTCTTGGCTTTATTTAAGTATAAATTATAATCGAATCATGAAATTTATCCCGAAGAAGAAATTATCAACACAAATTTAAACTCCATCTTTGTTTGATCAAATCGATAGTTATTTGTTCACATGGCAAGCATTTATAAAGAAAAATTGCGTCAAAGACGATATAGAATATACTACGTCAGACGCCCTGCGCGCTACATAACTTACATACCTAATTCAAACAATTTTCAAATTTACGATAGCTTAATATATTTTTTTATATAAATAAGTTTAGTAGTTTTAATCATCGCTAGGTTAGGACTTTCTGTTTTATTTACATAACTAGCTGTGTAACCGACTTCGTCCGCATACAATAGTTATTTTCGTCATTAAAATTTGTTTTCGCAAACCTCTTGTTCAACTCTATAAATGCTGTTACCCACGACGTCGTCCGCGTCCCTTCATTCTTGCAAGTTAATCTTAAAGGACATATATTGTCGTGGGCATTTCTTAGATCATTTAAAGAGGAATCATTCTTTCATACACATGTTTTGGGTATCTTGAATCGTTTTCGCAGCGTACGCATCGGACACCCACAAAGAATAATTCCCGTTTATTTCACATTTGTTGCTGTTTCTTTGCTCCTTACTCACAGTGCGTGTTATAACTTCTCCTCGATAAATGCTCTAACTAATACAAAAATATTTTTTCAAATCGAACCAGTAACTCCTGATATTAGCGCGTTCAAACAAACAAACTCTTCAAGTTTATATATTAGTATAGAAGTATAGATAAAAATAGTTATCCTTAGAGACTAAAATTTCAAATTCACAACAAAGTACTGTAGAACGAGGAAAATGTACGAATACACTTTTAGACAGAAATGGAATGAAATTTCGTTAAGTACCTTATACGTTGGGGAAACACGCAATTTGCATGATCCTATGCGCCGGTTGCATGCTAATGCGTGTGTTCCAGTAAGGCTGTTTAATTCAGCCTTATTTAGGCACGTTGGCGTTACTATTGTCTGTGTATGTTCTAAAGCTCGTCACGATACATTGTGCAATAGCCAGAACATCTTGTGTGCTTCAAAACGCATACAAGATTTAGGCTGATCGCAAACTTGCGACTTTCAGCCTTCAGTATGGTCGTTTTCCTAATAATAAGAAGGTATTTCAAACATTAAATACTATCTGTAGTTTACGCGAGTAGTTAAACGCGTTAAAGTGTTTTATTTAACCTAAAATAACTTTCAATATTCTCGCTTTTTGAAATCGGAATATCGGAAAGATTGTGTTTTTATGCAGAAGGTTACAAAGGTAATAAAACTAAATCATTCCGAAGAATAGTGGCTTAGACGAATTTTCTTGAATATTTTTTGGATACTCTTAGACAAAACATTTTACTACTTGTTCCTACTTAAATAAATTTGGTTAACAAGGATTTGGTTTCTTTGAAACGAAAAGACGAGACAGATGATAATGATGGCAATGATAATTATTATTCGTTGTTAAATTTTGGAGATTTTAAAGTATTCATTATCCATGATAGTGCTATATATTGTCTTGGCTTAAAGGTCTCGTTACCAGGCCAGAGAATATAAAAAAAAAACAACTATATATTGTCGTTGAAATGTGTTTAATCTATGGCTAATCAACAGCTAATGAATTACAAAAGCACTATACGTCTATAACTATTTATTTATTACTAGAGGCTATCTAAATTTACGTTATTATATTAACACTGTGTCTAGAACGCTGTGGATGCCGGGTCTAATCCGTGTTTATTTGTTGGAGTCATCATTTACAGTATTAACGATATTAAAGACATGTGGTAAATATTAAAAATTTCACAACTTGACAATTGTCTTATGGTTAGAACGATTGACAGCAGGTCCCCGAGGTCCACAGTTTAAACCCCAAACCAATATCATGCGCTATTTTAGTACTCTAAATAAGTAATAAAACTTCTACCTTGTATAAACCCAAATAGACGTCTTGTACAACTATGAAAACATTCTTAACGGTCCAAATTGCTTATTTTGAGACCAAGGTTAAGTCGACGAACGTAATAAAAAGTTGCTGAAGTTGAAATAAGCAAGAAAGACAGTAGAGCCGGGACATTTTGTTCAAACCAAAATTTTTAAAAATATTTTAACTTACATTTTTACTAATTATTATAGCCTTAAGAAGATAAAGAAGGTGTCAGAGTTGACATATATAAAATTAGGTGTTTAAAGTTTGCATGTACTAAAATTTGTACGTCATTTTGAAACCATTATGAACGTTTCGTCCGCTCTTTAGATACCTTTAGTAGCTATCATGCCCTACTAAACGGTCTGTTGACCTACTAATTTAATATTGTTTTTTTTAGTAAAATAGATATAGATGATTTATGGATATTCAGAGAATATGGAATTTGGATTATTATTTGTGTTGTTATGTGACAGATAAGATTACGCGTTGTAAGATAAATTTAAGATGGAGAGGCAAATTTTTTTTATTGTTATTATATTCTCGAATCAAAGACGTAAAAGTTTAATATTTTATCGTTTTTTACTTTTCATTTATATTAGGCTTTAAAGCTAAAATGGTTAATTTTATACTCATATCCAAAATGTCTTGAAGACAAATATGATGTCACCAATTGGGAGCCGATTTACAAACCATGTATAAAAATCATTTCCAAATAAGTTTAACTAATATATCGCGTTTTAAACCGTTAAAGTGTTTTATTTAAATAGATTAGTCTTAGTTATAAATATATATACACATGACTGCTTATATTACATTATAAAACGCAAAGATCAAAACTAAATACAAAAAGGGAAACTAACTCTACCATCAATTTGCTGCTGTCTATTATTTGTGGAAAAACACATTCAAAGTACAATGCAGTTTCCCCTACCTGTACGAATGGGGGCATAAAGACTTAGACATATTTCTGTGTCTATATCACTCACTCATGGTAGCGTTCTCCATACATTGTAAACAATGTTTTGTACATTGTAATTACTGACGAAAAATATATAAAGGCATTAAAAAAAACGTGAAGGATGTCGCTTGTAGTTTATTCCTAACGACTTAAAATTTTAGATCTTAAAGTGGAATATATATACATACATCGAATCGGCATTTAATATACCCTCTCGAAGTAACGAGAAAATATTTTCCAATATTAAATAAAATCACAGAATCAGAGGTCAACGTCTTCAATTAAGATGACCGCGAGTCAATTGTCTCAGCGAAATTGCTCGTTATAGGTCCTTCTTACAGTTTTTCGCATTTTAGCACTTATTTCTTTAAACAATAATCGCGTTTTTTCTGTGCCAATCAGCTTTCGTACTTATTGAAAGTAGTTATAGAATGAGGGATGTAATAAAAATCGTTCATAAAAACGACATTTATGGTAGAAATGTTCTGTAGGCGCCAGACTGAATGGTTACTTGGCTTTCGAATTTATAAATTCAGTTCAATTTAATGTAAAAGATACCTAGCTTAATATTAATATTACCTACGTATATTTCTAATTTAATTATCGTCTTGTTATTTCGCTTTTCCCCTACCTACGTAGTACTACTTAGAACTAATTGTTTGTACTTTCTCAAAAAGTAATGATTTGAAACCGTACAAAAAAACTAATAGCTTCTTTACTTGTAATATATACATTGTATTTGGTAAGACCAGCAGCGAAAACATTGTACAAATGAGGTTTAATTTATAATATTTCTTTATTATCTGTGGAACAAATTTGGATCTGTGAAACAGTCTAAAAATCTTTCTTACGTTATATTTTTGTTTAAACCTTCGTAAATGAATAAAAATATAATCTTTCTTTTTCGTCTCTAAGTTTACACGGTCGATAAAAGGTTCTTCTATGAGATATAGTCTATAATATTCGTAACACACTGGTCAAAAGGTGGTTTATGATAAATGACGTCAATATTTAGGTTATAGTACTTGCCAAAGCTTCTAGTACCGGACACCTAACTTGAAAACCTATTTCAATCAAATACTAATTAATACATTTTTTTTACAGAGGAAGGGCACATGCGACAGTTTGACTTCTCTCTAGCTGCTCTGCTCATGTGCTGTGGCTTTTTCATTATGTACCTTGTAGAAGAGGTTGTACATATGTACATCCATCACAGGTATGTTTATATACCAATAACCAAACTTTTAGTCTGTTATGAATTTAAAAAGTATATAGTCTGTAACGGTAATATAGGATATAATACTTTCATGTAAACACTACTATATTCTTCTTAGATATTTTGTATTTATTTAGGATAAGCCAATAATTATTATAGTAAATAAATCATTTACTTGTTAAAAAAAGAAAAAAAAAAAAAAAGGGAAAAAAAAAAAAAAAAAAAAAAAAAAAAAAAAAAAAAAAATTTTCGACCGGCAACTTGAACCGGCATCGAAGCTTTCCGTGCTGTTGCTCTACCATTGAGCTACCGAGACACCTCATGCGAATTTTTTCAGCTTTTGAAACCGGATAATAAATCTATAGTAATGTTAGCTTCAGTTAAGAAATATTGGGGGGGGAAGAAAAAAAGAAAAAGGGGGGGAAAAAAAAAAAATTTTTACAAGGGGGGGGGGGGGGGGGGGGGAAAAAAAAAAAAAAAAAAAAAAAAAAAAAAAAAAAAAATTTTTTTTTTTAAAGGCTAGGCTCGGGGAAAATCTATATAATTAGCTTAAAATCTATATATTTAGCTTCGATATGTCTTATATAAACACTTATAAACAAGTACTCAATAAATGTTAAGGTTGAAACAATTCGACGATGAAGTGTAGGATTCGGTAGCTCAATTGGTAGAGCAACAACACGGAACGCTGACGATGCCGGTTCAAGTCCTGCCCGAGTCTTAATTTTTTAAAATTTATTATCGATTTTTATTTCAAATAGTGCCATCATGTAAAAGATATTAAAGTTTTCAAAGTTGGCAATTCTTGTGTGTTATTGATCACCTCCAATATTTTAGGGAAAAGAGTAACGGTTCAGTGGCACCCTTAGTTCGGAACCTGAGTGTGAGGAAGAGCCGTAACGGTACAGAGGAGAATGGAGTCCAGAGCGTCACCAATTCTACATCAGACCTTATCGATCCAGCTTCGATTACCAGGCCGAAGGTAGAGTTTGGCTTACGCGTTACACGTCAAATTGCATATTAGTTAAATCTCAAAAAGGTTTTTTTACCTGTCAAACATTTTTTACACTCTAGAACTTGCATTGAATAAAATTACGTATAATATAATACTTCAGTTGTTGTTAATTTTAATTTATTGTACCTACGTATTTGCATACGTCGACCGTTTGATAACGAATAAATATTTAGTAAATATAATAATGCTTTTATATACCTATTTGTAATTCATTTTTACTATTCAAAAAGTATGTTTTAGCACTAATGACATTTAAAGAGTGTAAAATTAATTAAAATTCAAATCTTTTCTTTTCAGGACGTAGAAGTGAATGGACACAGCCATGCGCATGGGCACACGCATATGCCTGTCCATAATGTCGACAGCGTTACCGCGGCCTTGCGTGGTCTTCTTATTGTCCTGGCGTTATCTATTCACGAGCTGTTTGAGGGACTTGCCGTTGGTCTAGAATCTAGCACCTCTAATGTGTGGTAAGGTTTCGGCTAATTATTATCTGAAGTTTAAGTGCATATATGTATAATTTAAACCACTTTCAACGGTTTAAAACGCGAAATATATCAATTAAGGTATTTTTTGCATAATTAAACTAGGGTTCGACTTTTAAAATGCTTTGGAGCAGCCCCCCGTGACCACGAAAATATATCTCACATTTAAAACCTTTAAGTGTTATTATGTGTGCTTATTTGTGAACACACATAGCGCCATCTGAAGGAAGGTTTTCTTTTGTTGTCTACCATTCAACACGAGAGGGCCTTTTCTAGAACATAATTGCAATTCCACACTAGATGGCTCTTTTCTTAACAAATATAGTAAAATACAGTTTTTTATCTTCACCTTCCGTGTGGTACGTAGTTTAGTATTTGTTCTTAGGTTTGAGTCCCGAAACTAAAATTATCGTATCGTTATCGTTGCATTGTGTTCGGGGTACTAGAAACAACACACCTGAAATGGGCTTACTTGTGCCACTGAAGACAAAGGACACAGAAATGTGCTTATTTTTACACGTTATTACTCAATTGCCTGGTAACAGGATTATAATTATGTTCTTTTTCTCTCACAGGTACATGTTGGGAGCAGTGTCTGCACACAAATTGGTTATTGCCTTTTGCATTGGTGTAGAATTGATAGCTACACGTACAAAAATGTACTTAGCAATCATTTATATATCTACTTTTGCTCTTGTATCACCGCTCGGTATTGGCATCGGAATATTACTTGTCGGCGGTGAAGGAGCCACTGCAGCTGGTTCTTACTCCGTCATCCTCCAAGGTCTGGCATCTGGTACACTGCTTTACGTCATCTTCTTTGAAATCTGGAAGAGCGACAGATCCGGTATTTTGCAGTACTTCGCTGCTTTAGTAGGATTCGGTCTTATGTTCGGACTACAGCTATTAAGTAAGTCTTATATGTCATTATTATCATTAGTTCAATAAAATGAAGGATTTTTTAGTCTACAGATAGGCATGGAATTCTCTTGATGGGAGGTGAAATGAATGAAAAGACCAACAAGCCCGTGGAATGAAAAGAATACACATTATCACAGTAACTTAAAAAACAAAAAAAAATTGCTACTATGGTTTGAATAAAAAAACCTTTTCGGTCGGGTAGAGCACAGAAGGTCACCGATGTTATTAAAAACTTCAGAGTTGTGCGCACTGAAACGATTTTGTGGTTAAATAGAACAAAGCTAATAATTTTTCTTTTTTCCAGCACCACATTCCCACTCCCACGGTCACACTCATGGTGACGGGGACCATGGACACTCGCATGACAATTCCACAGGACACGAACACAGTCATGATCACGGTCACTCTCATGACTAATCATAATTATATTTTTGATGTTTTGAAATAAGTTGCGCGGTATTGTAACCTTGTAGTTGTACCGTTCTTTGTAAATATATTTTAAAGTTTAGTATCACGTAGATAATATGATTATTGTAAACGCACAATTCGTTGCCTGACCTGTGTAATAGTAAACAATATTTTTATATCTGTATTTAACTAACAAGATATCCTTGATTGGACTGGACGATCATTTTTGCATTTACTTATAGTAATTCAAAAATTCTAACCGCTCTGCATGAATACAGTTAAACTTATGTAGAACGCTATAATGTATTGCAATCGTTTTAAATATACAGAGAAATGTGCCTTTAATATTATTTAAATTTAATATTCGGTAAGCAAATAGCTTTTTACATTATATATTTCTATATATTGTCATGATATGTTATAATTAAGCCGATTATAAAACCTATAGCAGTATTCATATTTATTGTATAAGCTTAAAATAAGAAAATTTTAAGAGATGACGTAGGACAGAAGATTTTTAATAAAAGACTGTCTAGTCACTAGGTAAATATTGCAATGCACCTTTTTAGTTACAAACATTAAATGATGTCCATATTTATAATTTCTATTTCATAATCTGTGACAAGTAAGTCAAGTAAAAACGGAGTTCTACATCCACTATAAAAAGAAATGTATACATTCAATTACTGTTATTAAAGTAAGCAGAAAAATATAATTCACCCTTTGATAAAAAAAAAAATTCTGTATTGCCAACATTTTATTAGTTTGCGTGTTCACAATTAACGCCATCTATTTAATACTTTACTGTAAATATATAAGTTTATAATTAATCTAGGTTGGTTTTTCATTAATGACTTTTATTTTTACAAATAGGCCAATTAAACATTATTTGCTTTGTGAATGTGTCTGTGATAATGATAAGGTGGACAAGGCTTGTAATAACATTCTTTAATTTGATTAATATTTATTTGTGCGTAACAAAGCCGGTTTTAACAATGTCAATCTATACAGAACGCCTTTAAAATGTTGCTTTATTTGTGTAAGGATAAGCAATAAAAATTAAAACTTAATAATATTTTAGCGTAAGAATGTATTTTTTACATTATTTAATAGCATAGAGAGTAATAATAGTAAGAATATAAATAAAAGTAAGTAATAAGTTTTTCTTGTTGTTCTTTATTTTCGTATTTACTAGAAAATTCATTACTATATACTTATAAATATCTTTTTTATTATTTAATACCTTTAATTACTACAATAATAACAGACAACATTCTGGGTTCGAAAGTTTAGTGGAAGCATACGTAAATAACGATGTTGAGGGGCTGAGGAAAAACTTAGGGGTACCTATATAATTGTAAATTACTAATATAAAAAAAAAACTTCTTGCAATTAAGAGCCCTAAATTTTTTTGGCAATAACGTTAATTGGGCAATTAAATATTTATTATGTTTGATCCACTCTCTTATATTTTTAATCTGTGAAAAACACAATTACAATATTATCTATATGTCTCAGGCGCAACGAGTAGGTAATATGACGTTATCTGTTGAGTATTCGTTACAGCCTAAAGGCTAGTCTGGATCCGGGTTAGTCTATGGTAATAGAATGTAATAGGTAATTATTTTATCAACATTTATCTAGCGAGTGATTAACCGATAGTTAATTGGTAGGTAATTAGTTAATTTAAAGAAGTATTTTCTCTTTTAAATCCATATATTCTCGTAAGTCTCTTAATTTAATAAACTTACTGTTAAAAGTAACAGGACTTTACTATTTTAAAAGCAAAAGTATTTTATATTTATTCTAGCCTAAGCAGTCTAAGGTTAAATATGTTATTGCGAAGAGATCATAAACATGCAAAATAGAAAGTTTTATGTCGAAGTGAAATTATGCATATTATTTAACCTTGCATAATAAATGTATGGATATTAATCGAAAGTTGATAAATAACACCTATGATCTAATAACTGAATCGAAATTATTAAGCAACATGTTAGTTTAACTTTATATTTTGTTGGCGACGAACGAGTCTTAATCTTAAAAAGTCTTAAAATGAGTTTAGCACTTGAAGCCACCGTTCGCATTTCTCCTATTTGTGAGAGTATGTTTCTGGTTAAATTATTTTTAAATATTAAGAAGAAGTGAAGTATCTTAAAGTTCTAAACCTTTTATTTGTTTTGTAAATGTAACAGCTACAATCATTTGCATCTGTGTAGTATGAGAAATTGTGTAACCCATCCTCAAGTTAGTATCCAATAATAAAGTAAGTTTCTCATTATGTACATCTTATGTTTACAGATACCGAACAGAGATACACTTACCGCAGGATGTCAAATTCAGGGTTAACATCAGAAGCTCAGCTGCGCTACATGATCCAATGGTTTGAAGAGTTCAGTGAATTGCAACGGGAGGATTTTCTACCAATATTAGCTGCAGCTCATGGAGATAAGTTAGATCAAGTTGCTACTGGTGTCTCCTCATTGTCTTGTGAAGACAAGCCTCTCAGCTTATTTCAGTGCCGTGTAAGTATGTGTTTAATTACTTTGGCACAAATGTCTACTTATTCTTATATGTGTATCAATTAAAATAATTAAAGGCAGTTTAACATTTAAGTGACATATTGTGGTGCCTAATTCACTGAGTTATTTCATTCCTGCAAAGCACTAAGTTCAACAAAACAGTATGTAAACGTATTTTGTTAGTTTGAGGTCAGGATTCATTTAATGCATTTCCAAACCTTGTAATTATTTATTTTTTTTTTACAGATAAAACTGTTTAATGAATGGTATCCCACATGGAGCGATGAATTAAGAGAAAGATTAATCAAAGCTGTGACTGAAACAGATGCCCATTTTGGGGAAAAACTACAAGATATACTTGTGAATGGCATAAAAGTGAATGGAGTTGATGATTTCTTCGCAACTGATTACAGTACGAATGAAAATCCAGAAACTGTGGATGGTGATGAGGACCGAGATAGTTTACCAACCCAAGAGGTTGTAGTTGAAATTGCTGCGGCATCTTAAAATTGTATTATTTATCATTGGTATGAAATCTCATTCTATAATAGTTATAACCCAATATATTATGCACAATAGTGGTAAAATGCATTTAGTATCAACTTTATTACTACTACTGTAGTGCATAGAACTTGTATTAGTCTTATAGTAACTAACTTTAGTATTAGAAATCATTCCTGCAGCCTAAACATTCCATTTATATTTTCTTTATATTAAATCTGTTTATTTATTTGTATTAGGGTATTTTTTATTTCCAAAGATATGAATCTGATTGAGTACAAATCTTTGTGCCAAGTGCAACTTTCTATGTTGCCTCTGCGTCAGTGCTTAGAGAAATTAGAAGAATTGACGACATGATAGGATATACAGTTCAATGGTGGTAAGACCCAACTAGCTTGGTGGGTAACGAGTTTGAATCATATTCTTATGTTTCTCTAAGGATTGAAGCAAAATGGAGTCTGAAAATTAATATATTCAGTATATTTTGTACCTATTATGTGTAGATTATAATTTTTAGTGATACAAGGTGCTGGCTATGTGTGAGTTGAGTGAAAGTTTTTCTAATGTGAGCATTTCGTTAAGGCGAATGCCCGTTTCAGGCCACTAGAGGACATTGAACATTAGAAAAAATGCTTTGGTCAGAAGTATTGTAATCATTTAAATAAACACCATTGTAATTAAAATTTACCCGTTTTATTAGGTTTATTGAGATAAAGGTAAAACAAATGCTTTGGTCAGAAGTATTGTAATCATTTAAATAAACACCATTGTAATTAAAATTTACCCGTTTTATTAGGTTTATTGAGATAAAGGTAAAACAAATAAATTATGTCCATTTTTGGCCTGAGACCAAAGGGCATTTGGGCGTTTCGTTTTAACAATTATCTAAATAAAATATAATTTCTTGTATATGCAGTTGTTTTATTATGTGTACTAAAAGTCAAATACACATTGCTGTGCTTGACGCATAGGCCGATGCCTGAGGCACTGCACTAAAGACAATAATTTTCAAGGATTCAATCCCCCCGTGACCACGGCGGCTGCAAAGCAACCGCAACGTCGGACCGTAGTAAAAATATTTACACTAATATATTTCTCGGTTTAAACCGTTAAAAGCTTTTATTATATTATTTAGGTGTATTCAGCCGCATAAGCAACAAAGTACGAAACGCTAAATGCCTCAATACCGTGTCATCTACTTAACACGTTGATATGAAACGTTTGAAATGGCTCGGATAATAACGAAAATAATCTTGCATTATTTTTCCTTGTATGTACGAATTTCAAGGATACAGCAACAAACTTGTTATTTGTTGTCTTACTATCTGACCAGTGGCGTAGCTATCGTAGGGCCTGGTGGTGCAATACACCAGGGCCCCGGAACTTGGGGCCCCTCTTACCTCATATTTGAAAATATATTAGCGTACAAGGATTCTTTTAACGTATTTATAAACTGGTATTGTTGCTATTTATAATTTTGGAGGTTCATTTAATTTAAGCTAGGCTGAAAGAGGGGCTGAATTAGGCCCTAGGATTAGGAATACAGGGGCCCATGTAACCTAGCTACGCTACTGTATCTGACAGTGTTAATTATACGAATTACAAACAAGTTTATCGTACCCGTTGCGTACGCTGCGAAGACGCTTCAAGACACCCAAATATGTATGACAAAATGATTCCTCTTTAAATTATTTATAAATGATTGTAAGGTTAATTAAATTATAAGTTAACTAATATACACTCCGTTTTAAACTGTTAAAAGTGTTTTGTAACGTCACTGTTATTTTTGTTGCATGTAACAATTTGACAAGCATAACCAATATAAATACCTACTAGACTATAATCGGTGGTCGTACCCACACATTTGATTTTATCGAATGTGTAGCCGAAATTCGGTTTCGTTTAAAACTACATCTTTTCCGGTAATGTTTTGAGTAAAATAAACAGCGTTATCCGATTTTTTATTAAAAAAAACCTAAGGTTCAATATTCGATAGTATCCAATTCCGGAAATATGATACTCGCGTGTAAATTGAGGGTACGCCAGAAATAATTCTGCAGGGGTCTGGACCGAAGGAGTTGACACCGAAGAGGTACCAGTTTCGTTCCTTATTTTTACTCCATAATTTGCGCATGAGACCGCCACCTGAATCTCCTTTGCAATTATTTTCTGCTCTAGCGCATATTTGTGCATCTGTTATACTTACTCCATAGGGGCGGTATATGTGCTTACAAACTTTGAGTTTGGTGACTGATATCTCGGTCTTAAGTTTTATACCAGAATTTGACCCTGAAAAAGTATCTGTTACGACAACGGTTTAAAACGCGAAATGCGATTAGTTGTGAAGTGTATATGTAAACCTATAAATTAAAAAACGATTATAAATAAAAAAAAATACAACTTGGCAGGACTTGAACCGGCAATCACAACGTTTCGTGCTGTTGCTCTAACCAATTAAGCTACCGAGTTGGTTAAAGCAACAGCACGGAACGCTGTGGATGTCGAAAAGTGCCATCATTTACAAAAATATAAAAAAATAGTTTTCAATAGTAAAAAACCTATTTAACATAAAAAAATATTAAAAATAAATCTCACAAAACGGATTAAAACATATTGTTTATGGCACATCAAAATATATACCTAATTTTTAATACTAACTATGGTCAGGCGCTCCCCACCCTGCTACTTCCATCATCATATTTTCTTGAGATTCATTGACTGAGTCCATTATAAACGGTAGACATATCGGTTGTACAAAATCTGAAAAATTCGATGTTAATTTTGGATACAGATTTAAGATTCAAAAATGTATTTGTCTGGAAAATTAAATATATGGATTACTTGCAATAAATATAAGAAGGTACTTGTAAAATAAGGTAGTTTTTACATACACATTTTCATACATTTATTATGATTGGACCTTCTTAGAAATTTAAATACTGTAACTGCAACTATAATATATACGCGAATAAAACACTTAAACTTTTTAATATGCAAACTGTATTAGTTAGAACTTGTTTACAAATTATTATAACTACTGCCCGATGTTTTAGTGGCTTTGCAGTAGTCGTAAAGACTGTGTAGGTCTTGTTAAAAGTATTTTTTTTCATTACTGTAACTGCCCTAACTTCATAACGTCAATCAAATCAAACGATTATTTAGGTTGAAAGTAGACAAATGAATAGAACACTAACGCCCTAAGGACCGTCGTGTCGTCCGTCGTTATAGCATTTATAAGTTTAACTAATAACGCGTTTTAAACAGTTAAAGTGTTTTATTTAATTGTGCACTACTCGCGTAAATTACAGTTAGGCAATATTTAATCATACACAAATTGAAAGTATGGCCGTTCCAATAAGAATTTTTAGTTTCTTGCGCACAAATTTTTCCATTCTTATGAGGTAATGGAAAAACCAACGATCTTTTAACATTTTTTTTTGGTAATGGTATAATCTATATCTATACTAATATCTATTCTGAAGAGTTTGTTTTTTGCTTTTTTGTTTGTTTAAACGCGCTAATCTCAAGAACTAAGTATTCGAATTGAAAAATTATTTTTGTGTTGGTTAGAGGATTTACCGAGGAAGGCTATAGGCTCTTTAATAATAATACTCACCGCTGAATTTGACTTCCTCCGCCATTCGTATGAGAGCGATGTCATTAGACCGATTTATATCGCTATCATTATATCTCTCATGAGGAATAATCTTCTCAATAGGTATATCTTGTACTGGATCTGCACAGTAATCGAACTCGCAGTCCTTTTCAGTTCGTATGTCCCATTCACCGAGACGAATTTCACGCCAAAATTGCAAATTGCAAATCAATAAACGTTATTTCAGTTTCAACGGGTAGTTTTTGGTTCGAACCTTGTAAAAACGCGAAGAGTGTTTCTACACTGACAGAGTGACAGCACGGAACGCTGTGGATGTAGGTTTGAATCCTGCCCGTGACTTTTTTTGAATATAAGTCGAGTTTTAATTTATATAATGTGATTATGGAAATATATTTAAATTTTACAAGAAGAGACTTCTCCTTGTAACCTAAGTACCTATTCGTAAATAAAATCGATTTGTGAACCAGACAGAATGTCTTTGCCCTAACTTAAATAAATGGCTATATGTTGCCTCCATTAGACATATTTTATAATCACATTTGTCAGTTGGATAGGTGTTATATTTTGTTACTTACAATTTATAAGACATATTTTCTATTGTTCCCGTCACACAGTGTGCTGCCGTTAAAACATACCTCGATGATATTAAAACTCCGCCACAAAGGTATTTTGTTATGTTTCTTTCTCTAAAACCTTAAAAAATAATCGTAAGAACTTTTTTTTACATGGAATATAATATATATATTATAAAGCTGAACAGTTTTTTGTTTGAACCCGTCAATCTCGGGAACTACTGGCTCGAATTAAAAAAATATTTTTTTTTAGAACGCTATAGGGTATAAAACATTAAGCTGCGCCCAGTAGGTGCGGAAAGAAGCGGAAATGTGGAAAAAACGGGTAGTAAAGTTATTCGTGTTCGATGTTTTCTGTTTCCTACGCTGCGGAAACGGTTTATGATACCCAAAAAATATGTATAAAAGAGTTGTTCTTCTTCAAATAATCTAAAAAAAAAAATCCGGGACAGTACTATATATACAAGTTATAGAGATTCAAATATGCAATTCGACCCCTCATAATTATGGAAGAATTCACAATAGTAGCATAAAATATAATTTGAAAATTTAAATAATAAGAATAACATATATTAATCAGTAATAATGTTCTATCGCACTCAGATGAAGTCTAAATAGTATGTGTATATATAAATAAATAAACCAAAATATCAATGTTAAAACAACTATGGATAAAAAAAGATACACCTACGTTTTTCATATTTCAAAAGTGCTGTCCATGGATGTTCATTCATATCACATATATCAGTAATAAGTAGTGATGTCCCATAATCAAGTCCACAGACTGTAGTATTTGGTAGGAGAGATATCTTATTAGTTGTGTTATCTTTCAAGGGCTCTTTAGGACTCTCTTGACAGCAAATCTACAAATAAAAATATTATAGACTGGTTTTTGCCTTACAAAACACTATTTCTAAAAGTACTTACTTTGGTTGTTATATTTCCTTCAAAATTGCAACGAAGCTTTAATGATGTGTTATTCAAATAAATTTTCTCACAATCATTTACTCTTTTACATATTTCTCCATCATCACAAGTAGAATCTAAGAAAATTGATTAACAGATTATACCTATTGACTAACAAATAAATACAAATATTCGACAATACGAGATTACTTTTCTAACATTGATTACTAACTGTTAAAGCAATTATTAAATTAAACGTTTAATAATACTGTCTGTAGTTTACACGACTAGTGCACATTGAAATAAAACACTTTTAACGAAAAATATATTAATTAATTTACTTGCCCCCCTTTTACCACGGCTGCTGCAAAGCATCCGAAATGGGCCTTCGTTAACATAATTTGTGAATAAGTTGTACTAATACATTTCGCGTTTTAAACCGTTAAAAGTCTTTTATTAAAAAAAACGTTTAGTTGGACACAACGATACCTTCGCCGACTTGTGGGCCGGCCAAGATATTGTTGGAAGGACGCCCGAATGGCGAACAGCCGGAGAGAGGCCAAGACTTACTTTGGGTCGCTGCGCCAGCGGAGTATGTAAGTAAGTTTAAATACTTGATCCAACTCGCCATACTGCCTTTACCATAAAAATAAACAAAAACGTCACAAAATTGTTATTTTTGGGAAGTTAGAGAGAAGTGGAATATATGAAACGAAAAAAAGTAGTGTGTATATAATGACATTAAATTATTACCTACTTAATGTGCCATGAATATCAATCATCTTTCTTGTATTGAGAACTTACTTTTACGAGTACGTAAATTAAACGTAAGTATAATAAAAAAAGTAAAATTTTAAAAGTAGACGAGCATGATAGATTAGGTCAGGTAATCTCAAAATTAATTAATAATAAAAATATCAAAACAAAAAAATATGATAAAATATTTACCTTCAGCATAAATTATCTGAACTAGGATTAAATAGAAAAAAAAACTGTTACTTTTTACACACATTGTTAAAACAAAGTTGACCTAAGACAATAAGGTTCTAAAGACACTGTGCTAGCAACGAATACTTAGCCTTCAAAATATAAATCGTAAGAGGATAAACTTATTAAAATTCAAGCTTTGTAACTTGGAATTACCATTTCTTGAGATAAGAAAACTGTAATATATAACACACATCTAAATTGAGATCACTCATATTTACATTAAAGAAATTGCGCTCGTTGGTTTTTTTTTATATTTTACCATAAAAAGATACATTTGTACATTTATATCAAAATCGCCAAACTGCTGGACAGTTTGTTGGCGATAATGGCGCTCTTATTCTAGCAAGAAATTTTCACTTATTAAGTAGGTACATAATATTTTTTACATATGTACGTTATGTTAGGTATCTTTATGTAATCTGTTTGTGAACAATAAATTTATTTTTTATTAAAAATGACTATTTAGTTGGTTTAATGCTATCAATGTATGGCTAATAATCAAAGGGTCATGACTTCAAACCCTACCGGGTCCAAAATGTTCGTTCATAATTTTTCATGTTGGTAATCTTTATATTAAATAGGTGGTAGGTATATCGAAATTCTGTCCAGGTCACCATTGTACATAGATGAAAAAAGTCGTCAAGTTTAATCGCGTTTCGGTTTTAGTCTGTGGATTTTCGAATATTCAAACCCAAAATAGGTTGATAGCACATCTTCCATTAAGTGAAGCAGAGAAGCACGTCTGTCCTCCTCTAATGTGAAAAAGAAAACCGCAGCCTTCAATTATTTTATTTGGCCAGTCCAGTACCTATTTACTAATTTAGTGGCGCTAGACTTTTAAACCCATCAACCTACCTTAAAGCAGCGCGGTGGGTCATAGGTCTTAAACCCTATGCGAATGTTAAATCCATATTTAATAAAACACATTAATATCGAGTACTTATTTACTTCCTTTAAGTTAAATAATAAACACAAATCTTTGCTTAGCACTGTCGGTATATCAGCACTATTCTTCCATGTTTGCGAGGATCCAGTAGATATAAGCTGTGACTCTCGTGTAGACTCCGGGCCAACCCTGAGATCCGCAAGGTGACGGTCCATAGGAGACAACACCGAATACGAACCAGTTCTTGGACACCTCAGCCATGAGTGGTCCACCAGAATCACCCCGACAGGAATCCTGGCCCTCAGATCCACCAGCGCACATTTGGTTATTAGTGATCAACCGTGTTACAGCAGAATATACGGTTTTACATTCCTTGGGATCGATAATGGGCAGAGATACTTTTAATTTCACATCGGACATAGACTCTAGAAAGAACAAATCCATGATTAATTTATGCAGTAATTAAAAAAAACACCCGCTTTACAGTAGCAGCAATCAATGAACTTTTATAATAATACTTTTATTGAAATATACCGCGTAGAACCCTGATTTCGAAGAAATATCTCTTAGTTGACTTTAAGTTTTTTAATTAATGATTAAAAATATCAAAACGATGTTAAAACTAAATACTGTCTATAGTTTACGCGAGTAGTACACATTTAAATAAAACACTTTAACGGTTTAAAACGCGATATATTAGTTAAACTTATTTGAAAATGATATTTAACTTCGGCCCGACGTTTCGGATGCTTTGCAGCAGCCGTGACCCGGTCGGGCCGAAGTTAAAAATCCTTTTCAAATAAGTTTAACTAATATATCGCGTTTAAACCGTTAAAGTGTTTTATTTAGATGTTAAAACTACTTTAGATTTTTATACTTATTATAAATCATCACCGTGCAAAGATTCTAATTATAAAAGCATTGAAAAGTTAGTGTAAGTTGTCTATAAAAAAATTTAAAAATGTGACTTAAAATATTAATAAATCAAGGTTCGTTAACTTACTCGTTTCGGTTTTACCCCAGCCAGCAACCGTCATATCCCAGCCCGTATATTTTTGTTTTCTTAGGTTCTCTTCTACCGGTAAACATATAGGCTTCACAAATTCTGAAAAACATAAACTAATATCAATGCTGATTTCAACACATTATAGATAGAGTCGTAAACATTTTTAGGCGATATATAGTGTTTAATTTAAAAATCGAACATACATTGAAAAAATTTTCGACTCGGTAGCTCAATTGGTAGAGCAACAGCACGGAACGCTGACGATGCCGGTTCAAGTCCTGCCCGAGTCGAAATTTTTTTCAATTTATTTTCGATTTTTAAATTATATAGTCCCGTCTGTAGTTTACGCGAGTAGTACACAATAAAATAAAACACTTTAACGGTTTCAAATGCAATATATCCTAGTTAAACTTCTTGAGAAATATTTTTACTTACGGCCCGATGTTTCGAAGACTGTCTCCCCGTGACCACGGCTGCTGCAAAGCATTCGAAAAGGCGGGCCGTACTTTAAAATAATTCTCAAAAAAGTTTTACTAATATATCGCGTTTTGAACCGTTAAAGTGTTTTATTTAAATTATATAGTACCTTCATGTGCAATGACATGTAAAAAATATTAATGCTTTCAAATGATATATGTATAGTGTTTTTCATAAATAATTCTCTAAGAAATATTAAATAATTCTAAATATACTTTACGGAAAAGTGTGCAACACTTTACCGTAAAGTATATTTATATTACAGTGGTATCGTAAAATACATCAAAAAAATATTTTTTAAACTTAAAAATTGATTTGTTTAAAAGTTTGAGGTGTCGAAAATACAGTATTTTTCATACTATAAATTGATTAACTACAAGTCTATCAATAAAATTTGATATTTAAAACAAACAATAAATTTGTCATCAAAATTCATGCTGGATGTTAAAAATCATCAACGACCAACTTGTGTTTTGTGTGACAGTAGAAATATCGAGATTTCGTCCCGGTCACGAACAACCGTCCATAAATGGAAAAATACTTTCGGTTTCAGCTTGTGGATATCTAAGTTTGTTTTGTTGAATACTAACCTGTGAACTGTACGTTTCTAGCTAGACGAATGAGTGCAATGTCATTCTGTTGGTGTCCATCCTTAGCGTTATAACCTTCGTGGACGATGGTCTTCTCAATTGGCACATTAACGGGTGGTAGATTGCAGTCGTCGTTCAAACAGTCGATTTCGCTTGATGTGTTCCACTCGCCAAGACGAACTTCTGTTCTGTAATAAGTATTTAGCAAGATTATTAAGTACTGTCTCTAGTTTACGCAAGTAGTACACATTTAAATAAAACACTTTAACGGTTTAAAACGCGATATATTAGTTAAACTTATTTGGAAATGATTTTTAACTTCTGCCCGACGTTTCGGATGCTTTGCAGCAGCGTTAGTCAATTCTGCAAGGACCCGGCCAGTTTCGCCAAACTCCAACTTAAACGGAACAGATGGCGCTAGCGTAGCAATTTTTTACTTTGACGTCAGAGACATCCTCCATCTTTAGTCTCCCTGTGACCACGGTTGCTGCAAAGCATCCGAAACGTCGGGCCGAAGTTAAAAATCATTTCCAAATAAGTTTAACTAATATATCGTGTTTTAAACCGTTAAAGTGTTTTATTTAAAAGATTTTTAAGGTTAGCACTCCTGACTGTAACACACTATAACTAAAGGTCTAAACTAAGGTCGGGCGTAATATTACTATAGCATTTTATTTGACGGGCTTGTTGGTATAATGTTAGCAATGTGCAGCTACCATTATATAAAAGTCAACGGGTTGTGGGTTGATCCCCTCCAACATTTTCCCAATCAATTAGTAATTTTTCTGAAACATGTTGGACTTCGGATGGCACGAATATCGAAATTCTGTCCGAGTCACAAACCACTGTCCACAGATGAAAAAGCCGTGATGTTTAAACACGATTCAGCTTCAGTCTGTGCATTTCTTTATCAGCAATATACTTAGTGTTTTATTATTAACGTATGTTTTGCTGTTCTATGTAAACTGAACTGAATTTCTTAAGAAGGATAAAGCAGCTATAGAACTTGACAGAACTGCAATACTTACAGTTTCCAAGTCCTAGGTATATCGCTTCCATTGACACAATGAGCGGCTGTAAGGACATATCGCGAGGAAATCAACACTCCTCCACAATAGTAACCGCTTCCTATTCCTGTAATTATATCAAATATTAACTTGAGTTACGGTGTCCAAAACAAATAGGTCAAAACTTGGGGCATTTCTCCTCCATCAAGTCATGAATTCTATGAGGATTCTATTTAAACAGAATTAAACGATTTTAAAGCAGTTAAAATTTTATACTAAACCACAATTTTATACAACCTCGTTATTATTTTATTCGTGGAAGCTTACATACATTTTAAAATTGATAATTTAACAGCACGGACGGAATTGTTACGCTAGGAAGTAGGTACCTAGGACTTTTAGGACATTTGGTATAAGTACGATCTACCGTGATTGAGCTACCGTGTACGGTAGCTCAATTAGTGAAGTTACAGAATTATATGCAGTTGGTCATGGATTTGCTTTCGCTCGTGAAATTTTTAAACCACTTTCTTATAATATTTTTAAGAAATAACTTCTTAATTCAATCTATTTTAAGATTGCTTATTGAGTTATCGAGACGAGAAAAAACGCCCGAAATCTAAAGATGTCATATTTTGATAACGACAGTCGAGCAGCTGCAAGACCTGGATAGGGTACCAAAATGGCCGCAAAACTCTAACACAATTTAAGTTAAATATTGTCGCTTGAGTTTTGACACATACTCACGTTTTTGATATTTCAATAACGCCATCCACGGATATTCATCTATATCTGTCTTTTCGCCACCAAATATCCTCTCGTTGTTTTGAATTCCGCAAACGGAGTATTTTGGTAATAATTTTATACCTTTAATCTCTAAGAATGGGTGGGGACAATTTATCTGAAAAAATGTATTGTGTTGCGATTTTTACGACAGTAGCATTATTATATGACCCAGAATGACAAACAAAGTACAGAGTCAAATGCTTAAATATCTTTTAATATCCATTTTATTATCTACTGATTTATTAATTTATTGTTTACAAATATATGGAGAATAGCTATGTATAAAGTGTTATCTCTTTCGCTCACTTAGCTAACGAACAAAATTTCTTACGATAGGCTCATTTCCGACAAATCCACAGGTTAAATTTTTTGCAAGAGCTTGTAAATAAGTGTTATCTTTTAAGTCGGTGGTACATTGCGATACCGGAATGCAGATCGGACTAGATTCTGAAAAATACAAAAAGTAATCATTGGATTGGGCCTTGGGAACAATTTCAACTGTTTAAATGAAACACTTTAACGGTTTAAAACGCGATATATTTTAGTTAAACTTTTTGAGAATAATTTTAAAGTACGGCCCGACTTTTCGGATGCTTTGCAGCAGCCGCGGTCACGGGGAGACAGTCTTCGAAACATCGGGCCGTAGGTAAAAATAATTCTCAAGAAGTTTAACTAGGATATATTGCGTTTTAAACCATTAAAGTGTTTTATTTAAATGTGTACTACTCGCGTAAACTACAGACAGTATTTAATTTCAACAGTTTGAAACGCAAAAGCGCTGTACTACTTTTATAAATTACAGATATTAATATAACAAGTGCGAACATAAATTGTAGGAGGATTCTAGGCAAAGCTATTTAAGGAAAAAAAAAACCGAAATACTGGCCTTCTGTTACCGCTACAACAACAAATAATACAAACAAAAGATCGTAAATATTTAAAGGGCAGATTTCATATCATATCGCAATAAATGAGTGTTTAAGTAAAACACTTTATGGGTTTAAAACGCGATATATTAGTTAAGCTTATTTGAAAATGATTTTTAACTTCGGCCCGACGTTTCATAAGTTTACAAAATATTTAGTATTAAAAAAAAAATACAATACAGTTTGTATTGTATTTATTTGAATTGGTTGAATACCTAGACGGTAGACACAACAATTTGTATAATTATACAGAACTAGGTGAGTTTTTTTTTAATTACCACGCCAGCGAAGCTAATACGCGCAGCTTCGCTTCTGTTAAAACAAGTTATACTCGACGTATCTGTTTATATTGCTAACAAATAATAGCCGGTACAGGCGATACGAATTCAACAGGTTTTCCTCGTCAATAACACCATGTCATCAAAACACAATAAATTTTTTTTTCATACGCACACATAGTAAGTAGCAGCCATGTTTACAGGGAGACCCAAAACGTCGGGCCGTAGCTAAAATAAGTTTACCTAAAATATTTCGCGTCAAAGTGTTTTATTGGAATATAAATGATGTCTATATTTTAAGTTACTATAATCAAAGTGATCTATCTTAGATTGGAGATAAGTATGAGCACAGTAGACGATAGAATAACAAGTAATCAATTCAGTATCCGTGTAATAACATAAGCAATATTCCTTACCTTGACTTGACACACACGCCAGAAATAAACATATCACAGACAATATAATCCACGAATCCATTATGAGGCACCGCTGTGTAATGATTGTCCACAGTTCGTTCTCAACTGATAAACAGTTGACCGGGCGTAGGGTTATCAATTTATTATTTATTTTATTTTTAAATTGCCTTATACATAATGTTGCATACTGGCAGATTGTACGCTGGACACTACCATACTGCGCGGTCGGAGGACGTCAAGCTCATCTGACGACTAATATCTCATGGACAGGGGATTTCCTTGTATCGACTTTACGCGTCGCTTACTTCATCTTGGAAAGGGGGCCGATTCTCACTAGTGATAAAAATGATAAAGTACGCACCGCTACCTCTGTAGACGTTTAGAGGGAAACTTAAAAACATCATTTACAACTTTCTTAGCTCCTTTAATTGACTTAAAATGACAAGATTACGCCTGTACTACTGTTGAAAACCTAGTTTGATGTAAGGTTCGACTTATATCGTTATGCATTTTATATCACTCGATTAAGAATACATCCCCACTGAGTTTTATTTATCGGGTTTGTCGTCATTAAATGGCTTATGTATTTCTTAATCGAATAGATTTTAAATAACTAATATTTTTATGTTATAAACTAATTTGGTGTCAATTTTTTAAACTAAGAAAATAATAAAAACCCAATACAATAACTTTCTTTCTTGTTAAATTTTCAATCTTTATTATTTTTTTAAAGTTTAAAAATATGAGATCAAAGGTTTTTTTTATTACAGATATTGTTACTAATTTATATCTTTTTTGGACATTCTATGTGTGTCATACTGTGTCTGCTAATGTCATGAAAAAGTTTTAATCCCAGCACAAAGAACGATATACTTTTAAGCAACTGCCAATAAAATCGGTTATTCGTAATGTTTTTCCACATTCCCATAATCTTGTTTTTAATATAATTGTATTCAGTACAGGCTTCATCAAACATTGTTGCATTCTGAAAATATTGACATATTTTTTATGACACTGGAGCATGGGGTTTATTTGACGAAAGGCGAAATACACAAGATGGGTTATGGACCTATTTTCGATATTGAATATTTAGAAATGCACAGACTGTAACCGAAACGCGATTAAGCTTCACTCCTTTTTCAATTTGAATTATTCAACCTTCTGATGTCTGGACTATGTTAAAAAAAGATAGATTGATTAGAGGCACGTGAAACCCGGTGGCGATCGAATCTAAGACTTATTATTATTGCCATATTATATGCCATAAATTGCTACCTTCAAATATGTAAAGATAGATAAATCCCGTTGTTCCTATATGAGTCAAGGCATTTATTTGTTAATTGTCAAAACATCCAAACTAACCATTTTATTAATTTGATTACTTTTCGCTTCAAAAGAGGTAGACGGCGACTCTGTCTGGCATACCCGCTATCCTATAATTTAGTTAAGATTTATAATTTTATCTTTACATTAGCATATATTTCAAGATGTGTTGATGCTATATGTTTTATAGCATCAACACATCTTTGAAAAGAATTGGTTCAATAGTTAAAAATAATGTTAAGAGTTTAAATAAAACACTTTAACGGTTTAAAACGCGATATATTAGTTAAACTTATTTGAAAATGACGGGGTCTCCCCGTGACCACGGCTGCTGCAAAGCACCCGAAACGTCGGGCCGAAGTTAAAAATCATTTTAAAACAAGTTTAACTAATATATCACATTTTAAATCGTTAAAGTGTTTTATTTAAATGTGTACTACTCGCGTAACCTATAGACAGTATTTAATGTTAACAGTTCTCGAAGTATAACCGTTTGCACTCCCTTAGAAATATTTAACTATATTTCCAGCTCAGATAAATTTGCGCATTGTGGAAAACAGGCACATATTTATTATCTAGGTTAGGTATATTTATATTTGCTTAATAATGAAGAAATAATATAAACACTCACTGTAATAACATGAATTATGTAAAAAGTAACAGTAATTTTTAAATTACACGAGATACTAAAATTGTACATACCTATCGGTATAAATAATATAAAAATGCTTACAAACCGTAGCCAACTAGAAATTGTATTTTTAAAACAAAGCCTCTGTATACATCATAGGTTATATAACATTTTTATATAGATTCAAATGTATAGAAAGTTAATTAACTAACAAAGTTTGCTATCAGAATTTTACATAAGTAATGGAAATTGTCTTAACTATGAGTTAGTTTCTAAAGTCGACTGGCAAAAGTCAACGTTTTTATTAAAACTACTAATAAAACAAATTAAACATGAAGATAGAATTCTAGATTTTATGGTATTTACCGATTATAATCATAGTAATCGTCAAAGTCAAAGGGTTTATCCTTATACAGCTATCGTAATAAATATACAACTTAGGTATTATCCATTAATCACTGTCGTAAAGCAAATAGGTATAAACTAAAGATTGTTATTATTTTTAATGTACAAGTATGTATATCTCTTTTTTCACAAAAAAAAATGCGATTAAATTTTGTTAATTAGAAAGAGCGAGTCATATATGTCAACAGCCAGTTATTTTTTCTGTATGTTTGTCATTTTAAAATGATAGTAGGATGACGACCTTTTACAGCTCTAGAGATGCATTGTGGTAACAGACGGACCTTAGATAATTAAAAAAGGTTTTTAAATTACAAAAAGTTTCATATATACATACTAGCTGTTAGCCACTACGTCTTCTCCGTCCCGCCGTTCTTGCAAGTCATATACTGTCGCGGACCTTTTTTAAATCATGTTTTAAACCGTTTTCGCGGCATCGAAACGCAGGCAACGGAAACCCTTAAAGTTAAATAATTTTCCCCGTTTCTCCCACTTTTTCCAGTTTGTTCGCTAATAGGCCTTCCTCGATAACTCTATCCAACACAAAGAATTTTTCATTCGATACTGGAGTTCCTAAGATTAGCGCAGTCAAACAAACTTTTGGACTTTATAATATTAGTATAGATAAATTCTTATACTTATTAAGATGTACAAATTATTAATACTTATTCAAGTTTATCTAATGTTGTCTAGTATCCAGTCCATATAATATGAAATTCTAGTGTACACGCCAGGATAACCGCCAATTCCACAACGCTTAGACCCGAAGGAGACAATTCCACGTTGTACGTAACGCACTCCAGCGTCTGTCCGACCGGGATACATCAGGGGTCCACCTGAGTCACCCCCACACGAGTCTTTGTCTTGGACACCACCGGCACACACTTGACGGTCGTATATGTGGGGTGAACTAAAGGAAAATGAACACTCTTATAGTTTTTTTTAAACGATTGATTGTAGCAGTTGATTAACTGAAATACGATCCAAAAATAATATATAGATTATCAATGTTATGTATAGGGTGTACTAAAGAAAAATAAACAGAATTAAACCATTGATTACAGAAGCTGATGAAATAAGTCCCGAAAATAAGATAGACAACGTCTAACTTCGATAAAATTGATCAGTGAAGAGTACCTACACAGAAGTTATGTCTAGCCTTCTGTAACAAAGGTCTGTGGAAAGGAGGGTAGTTTCACTGCAATGCTTAACCGACAGAACCTACATGAAAAAGGTTTAAAACACATGGTAATATTGATGTTACAAACAAAATACTCACTCATTGTAAATAGACTGGCAACCCCTATTAGTGATTATGGGTAGGGCAACACTGAGCAGTACTGGACTCTGCAAACCGTCTTCAGTTGCACCCCACCCAGCCACGACTCCTAGCAAACCTTCCAATTTCTCATCTTGTAATTGCGACGTCGTTGGTAAACAAATTGCTTTCATGTTATCTGGAATAAATATAATAAAATATATATAAAATCTTAATTAAATAATTAATATTTTTTATATAATGACGATCTTGGAGATTAGAAGATTATTATAATGTGCTAAGATAAAACGTTCCTTAGATGTAATCATAATAAATGTAATATCTCATGAGCCCTTAAGAATTAACGCCACAGGCACATACTAAATGCCAAATAGAACATTGTCGTCATTGTCTAAAACATTGACGATAATAATGATTGAAATGTTTAAATAAAACCCATTAACGGTTTAAAACGCGATATATATTCGTTATAGCGTTTCTACTATCTACTCGTTTAAACTACAGACAGTATTTGATACAAATGTTTTGCATTTCTACGGATCTTGAATTTGCTTTTCTTGTCGCGTAATTGTCGTTCTTATGACATGCATAGGTAGCATTGTACTAAAATAATAATATGCTATACCCAAAGAAAAGTCAGCTGGCTCTGACAGCCTTAAAAGAGCGATGTCATCGTTCAAGGTTTGTGGATTATACCCGTGATGTTTAATGACAGCGTCGATGGTCACATTCTGAAAGAAACAATATTTCTATAATCCAATATTTCCCTAGTTTATTTCGCTTATAAATCCAGTATGTCTCAAATGGTAACACGCTGGAGCCAATAGGAACCGTCTGTCACTTTGATAATAGCATCCTTAGCATTAACCATTAGAACAAGCTCGTTAGGATTAAACTTGAATCATTCTTACCCTAGCAGGAGGTGCACAGGTCAGCTCTCCATCCATTCTCTCACAGTCTGGATTTTGTCTAATATCGTGGTCCCCTAAAATGACTCCTTCTAAACGCAATTTACTACCCAGATTGGAGACGCAATGTGCTGCAGTCAATACGTATCGTTCTGTTATCAAAGTACCTCCACAACTCAGTTTAGTGCCACGTCCTGGAAGAGAAGATTTTAAATTAGAAGATAGACAAAGGCTTTTTTTTTACTGAAAGTGTGAATGCCTAACAGCCCCACGTCGGGAAATAGTGACGTGGGGAGTGTTGTAAATCGTACTACAACATCCTCGGATACGGTGCTTTTGAGGGAGACCTGGAGACAAATGCTACCTAGAAAGAAAAAGTGATAGAACTATATATATATATAGCATTATCGATAGAAAGCGTCTATTTAGTTTTAGCCATTAATGACACAAGATCAGATTTGTACATATAGACAATCATTACTGGTTTTTCAATAGACATGATTTAAAAAAAAATAGGTTTTATTTATGTAAATATTTTTTAATATATAAACAAAAATATACTTCACACCTGATTGGTAAGATAGAAGCACCATCCACGGCATCTCGAAAAGGGAGGTACGGTTCCCCCCGAAAATTCGATCATTTTCAATCGAACCACAGTTTTCTGGGAGTAACCGTAAATTTGGATGGTTGCTCACGTTCGGAGGTTGATCTACTGAGTTGGTTTCCCCTCTGTTGTTGACTTCTACAATAGGCCTCCTTGTGTACGGTTTCCAGGTGGTCGTGGACGTCCAATAGTCAGCTTCGTTTCCTTGACCTCCACTATAGTCAAATCCAGCATGGATGTTTGTCTCTGATTCACAGCATACCTAAAAATACTGATTAATTTAGGTTAGCATGAAAAAAGGCCCTTAAAAGTCTATGTATGTATTATTGTCTTCGTACTGTATGCAATTGGTATACGTCAAGAAATTACTTCTAACCTCACGCTAGTTAAAACAAAATATTTTTAAAATTTTAGTTAAGTGCGAGTGGCCCTGGTTTTAATACTATGAAATGATATATAATAATTTTGTCAAGCAGTGTACCCAGATATGATATAAATATTTGAATATTTCATTTTTCCCAAAAATTAGCCATTCTTCTTTGAAACGTAAGCTAATAATAAAAGGTATTTTCTTGTTTATTGAACAAAACAAATGCGTAGATCTTAGTATTTACAAGTGGTTGATCTTGTTGAAATCCACAGCCTAGATCCTGCAGCTTCCTCCTCATGTACGACGGCATGGGAGAACCTGCACGTTTGATTTCCTCCAGAAGAATTCTGCATGATGTGAGCAATTTGCAACTCCCAGGTCTATCGTTAACGTAACAGCTGTCTCCACCGTACACTGTAATTAATAGGTTTTCTTTTAAAAAAATTCAAAAACAAGTACATATATTAATTTTTTAAAATGGTTATAATGCAATACTTGAGCCAACAACACAATGTAGTAAGCTCTTTAGACAACTACGCGTTATCCTCAAAGTTGTGTGTTTTTCATTTAATTAATGTCCCACGTGCAAATTTTAATTAATTCTAACAAATAATAACACTACTTGTGTTATTAATTTACGATAGACGTAAATATAGTAGCCCAATAATAATAAAAATACATTTTAATAACTGATGTATGTAAATGTAACTAAACTTGTAATAAACAATTTTGTTGTTTTTTTTTACAAACTCTGCTATGTTAGATTGTATGATCTCGTCTGGGGTCTGCTGGTTCAAGGATATGAAAGGTATGTCTTATAAATAAGTATTTGTATTTTAGTGTTTAAGACGGCAACAAATATTTATATACATAAATACGTACTGTCTATAGTTTACGCGAGTAGTACACATTTAAATAAAACACTTTAACGGTTTAAAACGCGATATATTAGTTAAACTTATTTGAAAATGATTTTTAACTTCGGCCCGACGTTTCGGATGCTTTGCAGCAGCCGTGGTCACGGGGCGACAGAAGTTAAAAATCATTTTCAAATAAGTTTAACTAATATATCGCGTTTTAAACCGTTAAAGTGTTTTATTTAAATACATAAATACGTTTTTTCGTCTTATTGCAAAAAAAAATAGTAAGTTATTTGATAAAGGAATTATTTCATTCAAACACCTTAATTATGATAACTGTTAGTAGTTTATTCAAATTAATTATCTATTATTAAACACTGTCTGTAGTCTAAGCGAGTAGTACAAATTTGAATAAAACACTTTAACGGTTCAAAACGTGATGTATATTAGTTAAACTTTTTGAAAAATATTTCTCTACGGCTCGACATTTCGAATGCTTTGCAGCAGCCGTAGTCACAGGGAGACCATGGTATTATTGTTGAAACTACTGAGACACGGTAATTATTGATATAGAGTAATGTTCTGCCTACCGTACATAGTTTACTAACACAGCCGCAACAAAATTGATAAGAATAAACAACAAAGTGTATTTTGTGATACTTACAAGACGACGTCGACACTAGCGTACACAAAACAACAGAGAGAAACAAAAACATTCTTATATTTGCATCTTTCGCCTGCACAAATCTTTAACACTACACGATTATATGCAACACATTTTTAAAATTATAAGGAGGTTTTATATGTAAATACTCGAACTATTTTTCTTGTACCGAGAAGCCTTCTCTTCAATCGCTTTTAACGAACGTTTAATGCTGAATGAAGCTAGTGTGCGTATTGGAGATGACAAAGATACAAGTTATACTGGAAAACACTGTGTGACGTACAAAATGGTGTTCGTTACACACGGCGTCTTGCACGTCGATAATCATTTTAATAGACCGCAATGCTGGGTTAAATGTAGATTATAATTGGTTAATATACGATGATAAGTATAACAGTTATGCCTTTGAAGTATATTTTTAATAACATAACGTCAAATTTAATATATTTAATTATTGGTTAATATATTTATTGGGTATATTTAAGTATTGGCTTGCGTTAGCTAAGCGTTTTTGAAACGAATGACGAATAAATAAATAGATTAAAATCGATAGATGAAAAAATATTATAAAGAAAATATTTCATTAAAATTAGACAAGTCGAAGTATAAGTTAAGACTGTCTGTCTACTAGCGTAGTACACGATTTGAATAAGACATTTTTAACGTAGCTAAATTAAATTGTACACAAGTTAACTAATATATTTCGTGTTTTAAACGGTTAAAAGTATTATTTAAAAAAAAACTAAGTATAGGTAGTTAAATTTTCTTTATTGCACCTTGAAATATACATTGGTAACAATTTTTTTATATATTATTAAAACTTTGACTACGAATTATCGATTCAAATTTCCATGTAATATCGAATCCAATAGATTCACAAAACTTTACATACCCTATTCTTCTTCCAAACCCTCAAATTTATCGTTCTAAGTTGAGCGATATACGAATTAAACTTTGATTATAAGTAACCAGTATAATATTATATTATTCCTTTAATCCACAATCATATTACAAATGCAAAATTATAACAAATTTAGTATATCTCAAGTTCGTCATGCCATGAAACTTATAAAAAGTACAATGAATATTGTTATTAAAGTGAATTTAATTAAAATAATGGTACCTAAACAGTTTTTATATTACATTTATTACTTAAAATTTATAAATTATAATAACAAAATAATCGTTTCGATTTATAACATACTAGCTGGGCTTGGGCATCTTAATTTGTTTTTGAAAACCCTCTCATCATCTTTATAGATTTATTTCACGACGTCGGTCGCGTCCATGTTCTTGCGTGTGTATCTTTCTAGTATCTTAAAAATATAGTATTGCGGTCTATTTAGATCATTTAAAGAGATTTCTTTCATACATATTTTTTGGGTGTCTTCAACCGCTGTTGCAGCTTTTTTTTTTTTTTTTTTTTTTGAATTGACTATTACGTATTGTGTTCCTATGGAGCCACGAATACTACGCCGTGTTTGCGGCTAGACCAAGGGTGCCCCGATGGGGGCAACGGCCTCGGCTTGGACCGCCGCAATGCGGGTGGGAGCTTGAGGAGCTGGACGGAAGCGTTGTTGCAGCTTACGCATCGGAAACCCAGAGAGATGAATAATTTCACTCGTTTTTTTTTCACATTCGATATATATCACTTGGATATATAATCTATATCTGTCCTCGATAAATGCTCTAACTAATAAAAAAATAAATTTTCAATTGCCAGTATCCTCCAGTAGTCCCTGAGACTAGCGCGATCAAACAAACAAACTCCTCAGCTTTATATATTAGTAAAGATAATATATTCATGACTTTATCCACTGGTAATTATTAATATTGGTGTAAACAGAAGTGATTCACTTAAGCATTTATTGACCATGTACGCAGTATTTGTCTTGTGGCATTGTTCTCTAAATTTATCTTGTATATTTTGTTCCCGGAGCGAAGTCTACTCTTTAGTTACCTACAATGTATATTAAAAACTTACACACGTAAGGCTGAGTATAATGGACTGGGTACACAGTTAAGAAACCTTTTTGTAAGATACTTGAGCCTGTCTGTAATCGTTTACTGTTGGAGCTAGGATTTATAGAAGAACCCCCCTAAATATTCATTATATTTTGATTTTTTTATTAAATTATAGAGTAATTTAATTAATATTAGAGTATTTTGTCATTATTTAAATATCGTAACAGATGTAAAATATAATTTTTGTATCGAATATTTTGTGCCCCTTGACTATACTATACTCTCGTAGTAGCAATAGAAATACCAAAAATTTGAATTTCAACGTTTTACGTGAAACGTTAATTGTAATAAAGAATGCAGACAACCTTATTACTAAAAAAGTGAAAATCCGTTACCCCCGTGGGGCCTGGGGCGAACACATTTCTTTGTGTGTTTCACTGATCGTTTTTATTTACAGGCAAGTAGTTGATCAGACTTCTGTGCCCGGTCTGACCAAAAATATGTATTTCCCCGGGATTCGAACCAAGGACATCTCGCGTTTCATCCAATGCTGGAATACATGTTTAACCATTTAGCTACTGTTGTGGTAGTCGTAGTAAATACATAATAATACCGTCCCTTTGGCCTTGGCATCCGAAAGCCTAAAACAATTGTTATTATACGTACCCTAACAGTAATTGGAATGAAAGAACTGGAAAGTCCAAGATGTAAATATAATAGGGAATAACCAGGAAGTTGATACATCAGTTTCGAGTGAATACTTCCTCGACTGACGTTAAAGATTTAAAATCAGATGGAGATACGTGAGGTCGACCACATAGGTCACCGGTTTGACTGGTTGGGATGTCTTTAGTATTTACATTATCGCGCTGGCGCCAAATCTTTATTTCTTACCCTCTTAATTAATGTGGTTTTTTAAACAATTTAGATAATTCTATCGTATATCTATGTTGCAAAGAATTCGAAACGTTTGAAGGGGACACAGCGGGAATTGGATAACCCAAGGGGGAATTGGTAAAAAAAAGTGAAATCCAGTTTCCCCCTCGTGGGGGCATGGGACGAACACATTTCTGAGTCCGTTTCACTGATACGTTCTTTAACAGGCAAGTAGTTGATCAGATTTCTGTGCCCTGCCCAACCGAAACAACTTTATGCTTCCCTGGGATTGGAACCGGGGACCTCTAGCGCTTAATGCAATGCTACACAATACGTTTAACCGTTTGGCTACAGAGGCGGTCAAAGGGGGAATTGGGGAACATGTGAAATGATTATGGTGTCGCCAATAGAAAAGTCGTGTTTATTGTTGACTTAACTTAGTAAACTAAAACATTAATATTTCTTATTAGGCTCACAATAGTCCCATCTCGTCTCATCATACAGATTACAAAATCAGCTGCCCATTTCACCCAATCTCAGACTTGGGGTCCTCTTCAATGCTTTCAATACTTCTGTCTTCCGTTTAAATTTTCAGGTAATAAAAGTGTTCCACATTGCAATTAAAAAATCGTAATTTACAGTAAATATTACTTTCATTTGTATCGCAAAACGATCGTAAAATTTTTAGTCACGGTAAATCATAGTCATGTTAATTAATTTATGCTTTCGATCTTAATTACCTTAGTGCTTTAATTAATTTTACCTCTCTCAAAAAAGAGAAAATATTATAATGGTACTGTATTAATGTATAGTTAAATGCCTTTATCCTAAGCAAAAGACACCAATCAATTTGAATTAAAAACAGACAAGGCAGACAGACAGATAAGAAACAGACATTTTTTTTACTTATATATAATACATTTGGCCGAGAATTTGGTATACCTTACGTTTACAACGCTAGCCTATATGCTTAACAATTGTTTCCGACATTGTTGTAAAAAAATACTTTTAGTTATTTATAATTAGTTATTAGTAGTATTCGTTAGTATAATTAGTTTAGTTATTTATAACGTTAGTTCGTAGTTGACCGTCTCTGTAGCCAAACGGTTAAACGCATTGCCTAGCATTGCGTTAAGCGCGAGAGGTTTTGGGTTCGAATCCCAGGGAAATAAAAAATTGTTTCGGTCGGGCAGGACACAGAAGGTTGATCAACTACTTGCCTGTTAGTTTTCACTTTTCACTGGTCGTAGTTGCAAATAGTTTACAAAAAATTCTCATTTCGAATCGTTGAAAATAGTTTCATTTAATGTTCTATGATACTGTTAAGTAGTTAAGGCGTAAGGCATTTAAATATATGTTTGGAATACATCCAACTGTCAACTATAATTACAATAATGGAATAATGGACCGCAATGTTATTTATTACTTACTTATTATAATAATCACGTATAATGGCTGGCTTTGTAGCTCAATGGTTACGATTTTTACCTAAATATTTATTTATATTTCGCCTTATCGCGCGAGAGGTCCTGATTTAGTATTCTTGCAAACAAATAAATTGTGCCCGTCAAATGTGGTACACATTTTAATAAATGTACCTGCCCCATCCTCCGCTTGACTTTCTATTATAATTATATTAATATAAGTTTTTAAGACAGAGGTAGGTATGTGATAAGGTAGATTAGCAATTTATACATTTATTGATTGGAGATTTTTATTAGATCGTTGAGGTAGGAAGGTAAAAATGTAAGGGGTCAAAAACCATAGATACAATTTAGAAAATTCTATTGATATCAAAAACTTATTTGTTACAAATCAAGGTTACATTTTGAAAGAAAAGTTGAAAACACGATGGCATTGTATACATTAAAAATCGATTTTAAATTGACACACATTTAGTACACATTTAAACAAAACACTTTAACAGTTTAAAACGCGATATACAAGTTAAACTTATTTGAAAATGATTTTTAACTACGGCCCGACGTTTCGGCTGCAACCACTGTCTCCCCGGTCTCCCGATCGAGATACGAAATATATTATTTTAATATGTTTCAATTACGACGCGACTTTTCGGATGCTTGGCTGTGGCCGTGGTCAAGGGGGACATGACTGCTTAATTGAATATGCATGTAGTTATTTGGGTGAACATCAAACAATACTTACGCTAGGAAGTAATAAATTTGGACTTTAAATGGTTACTTAAAATTTGAAGTTCACACATACGGAATGTTCACGGAACACGCGTGGACTGTAAACAGACTGTCGGTCTGAGTCTATGAAATATTCTAAGCTACAGTATTTTCAGCAAAAATGCAGCCTACTCATATGTAGTGGGGTTCGATGTTTTGTTTGTATGTGCTATAAAAAAACATAAGCTCTTTAACTATTCTCGTATTTTTTCTTTATAATGATTGCATAACGAATCGCGACCGTCTCAAATCACTTTTCAATGCATATAATTTATGTGTATTAGAAATGCAGCACTAGTCATGTGCTTAACTGCAAATCGCACCGACTGTTTGAAATGAAAGGATGAAAACACAGAACAGGATGGACGTTCTTAATTGGTGTTTCTTTCTGTTCATCCAAATTTCCATGACGCATACGCTAAATGACGGTAAGCTGGTTTTGTCTTTTAGTATTTACTTGCGTCATAAACGGGATGGACGGACTGTCCATAGTTTACACGAGTAGTGCACATTTAACGGTTTAAAAAGCGATATATTATTATTCAGTCTCCCCGTGACCACGGCTGTTGCAAAGCATCCGAAACGTCGGGCCGAAGTTAAAAAACATTTTCAAATAAGTTTATTAATATAATAAGTATAGTAATATATCGCGTTTTAAACCGTTAAAGTGTTTTATTTAAATGGGCTCGTTATTGTAATGCAATATTTGGATAAAATAATCAACGGGTTTTTCTAAACAATTTATTATTTTTCTGAAACATGTTTGACTTTGCCTGGAAATCTGGATTTTGAAAGGGGAAAACCAACGTCCACAGATGAGAAAACCGTGGAAATTAGTTGCGTTTCTGTTTCAGTCCGTGGATTTCCGAATATCCAAAGCCAAAGTAGATCACTAGCGGATCTTGTTTAGATGTTATATGGATATTTCACCCACTATCTATCTCACATGTCTATGCATGTCTTTTCTCATCTGTTATAAAAAAAAGGTGTTTCCACTTAAAGAACGTCACGCGAGGCAGCCTCGGTTGTTTGCTTTGTGACGTTTGCCTCAGGTTCTTCGAGCAATAATGTAATAAATAGATGCAAGCAGAAATTGAAGGGTTTCCTTACAATGCTATATGCTCAGTAAGACACACCGAATGACTATTATAATTGTAATAAGAATAACTTAGATTTCATTAATAATACTCAGTATTTTTAGTATCACAGGTGAAGTCCCGTATCCCCTCAATGGGGTATGAGACAGACCTATTACTTTGTATGTTTCACTTATTTATTCAGAATACGTAGGTAAGCGTATTCGCCATAGGTATTTGAAAATAAATTCCTTGTTTTGTGAAATTGGACCTAAATAACTGGTGGTTATAGCGCAGAAATGCAAAATTGTGTCAGGACGGGACTAATTTTGAATCATTTTTACTACACAACACAAACAATGCTTTTATTATTAAAAAGTCATAGAGTGTAACGGTAGTTTTTATCGTTTCCAGGCAACTGTGTTATTATTATATTACTATATTTATTTAATTCTCTTACCTCAAACTTTATTATATCTTATCACATTATATTATACCGCCATTGTATATCTTTACGAAAATACAATGCATTATCCCCGTCATTTACCCGTTTTAATCAACGGCTTGCGGTAATGTAGCAGACATATCTATTTTAGTTAATTTGATAAATACGAAATAATATACATTTATTTATTTATTTACTAATGATGTAAGAAAACATGATAATTACGTATTATTTATTAAGGGTTCCTATAGGCTAATGTAAGACATGGCATAGATGTATAAATTGAAAATATATATAGATTGATGTGATGCCGATTCAAGTCTCGTCATGACGCGACTTGAATCGGCACCCACAGACGGAGGCAGCTATGGATGCCGGTTCGATTTCCATCCGTTTCATATATATTTTTTCAATCTATATTTTTTTTACAAAAAGACAGTAGACAAGCATGGGTTCCACTTGATGGAGGATAATACTTGAGTCGGAATCGTCGAGGGCGGACAAGCTTGGCGTTAACTGCATGATAGGTACTCAACCAAACAACAACCAATTTTGACTTTTTCCAACTTTTTTTGACGGGCGTCAAAGAGTGTTAGTATTGAGTGCTAAATAAATAGTAATTATTATTGTAAAATACAGACTTTAAAAGATTTTACTATGTACTCTTTATTTTTTTATCTAGTATATTTATTATTATAACCAGCACAGAATAATAGAAAATTGCTAAAAAGTAAGAAATTTGATTTTAAACATTTTAAACACAACATTAAGTTTTTACACACAAAAATTGTTTTTGCAAATCCCTACCTACGGCATCGGACGCGTCCCGTTGTTCGGTTCCCGTCGTTCTTGCGAGTTCATCTTGACATAAGTATACTGTCGCGGACATTTTTTTGATAATTGAAAGAATAATAGAACAATAGAATATTTCCTTCCCCCTATTAGTCACAGCGCAATGTTTTATAGCCTTCCTCCTGCCTTCCTATAAGAAAAAAATTGATTTTTTAAAATTCGACCCAGTAGTTCCTGATATTAGTGCGTTCAAACAAACAAACTCTTCAGCTTTATATATTAGAATAGATTTGTTTTTACAATTTCAGCTGGCGATTCTATCAAGGAAAAAGAATGGAGATCGCAAATCTCCAATCACCAAGCGTGGAAGAAACTAGACAAATTCGAATGCGGTTTTAATGCAGCCGATCGCATTATCGGAGGCATGAACGCAACACTTGGCCAGTTCCCCTGGATCGTCCGCATCGGATATAAATGTACCTTAAAAGTAACTTTAGCCTTCATGACAATAAGTAGAAACATAATGATCTGTCAGAATTCAGAATGAATAAAAGATTGTTTATGTAAAATCAAATTAGACAAAAGCAAGAAACTGTAGCTAGGTATGTAGGTATAGGTTTGTATAAAACAAAACACACGCACGTACGTTAAGGTTCTTCTATAGCATGTTTTTTGTGTAAAATTAAGCTTAGGTAGTATTTTGCAGTAATTATTATGTATTACCTAACCCTATTATAAAAGACTTTAACTGTTTTAATAAAAACGGTTCAAAACTTAACTTATTTACAAGTTCCCCTTTGACCACGGCGAGTAGCAACAGTTTCGTACTTTTGTAACACATGTTAAGTCTTTGTTAACTACTCGCGTAAACTACAGACAATACTTATAATCTATTACGAACTTTTGACTTAATCTATACATTTTCACTGTTCTTAGTTTTGTTGGTATGTTTAGCTAGTAGTCATTAAATATTCTCTAGTTGTTGGAGAAGAGGAGCTAGATTGGATGTGTGGAGGTGCATTAGTAACAGACCGTCATGTTATCACGGCTGCACATTGTCTACAAACAGATGGAGAAACTTTTGAAGTGTAAGCATAACTAATTGTATTAATATGTAAATAAGAAAACTCCTATACATTTTTGATGTGCGAATTCAAATCAATTTTTGTCATCTGTTTCGTCGAAGTTGGTATTTCGATGGAACAGATGGCGCTAGCGTAGCAGTTTTTACTTTGACGTCAGAGACACCCTCCATCTTTAGTCTCCCCGTGACCACGGCTGCTGCAAAGCATCCGAAATGTCGGGCTGTAGTTAAAATAATTTTCAAAGAAGTTTTATTAATATAAAACGAATTTAAACCGTTAAAGCGTTTTATTTAAATTTGTACTACTCGTGTAAACTACAGACGGTATTTAATTAAACCAATAGTCGTTGCGTTTATCTGAAATTATATCTAAACCTAGGTTAAAACTAAACGAACTCCAATGACAGTGGAAAAAGTTTGATGAACGAGTTTTTTCGCTAAGTAAACATTGTTTTTTACTTATATTGTAATTCTTGTGGCACTGTAGAGGGTTAAGTTTTTATTACTGTTATTAATATTGATAAAATAGATAACAAAGGTCGACCTAAAGTTCGCAACTAACGACATTAACATATTAAGTTAGCTATACTCTTTAAATTGATATATTTACAAATATTTCATGTACAGGTACGATAAGAAAGTTTTGAAATATTTTCTGCTGGTAAACAATTCTGGGTAACTGCTTGTTTTATACTGTTTTTATCTTTGTTCCTCATTCCCCAGAAGTACTTATTATCCATATTTACCACCTTGCTGACGTCATAAAACTGAGTAATACCGGGAAAACAAAATAAAATGTGTCAAAGTACTAAAAGCGTAGATTATGAATTCTGACCTATATGTAAATCAGTTTACCGCTTTCATGGTTCATTAGGTTTGATTCTTGGGAATTAGTGTATAGAACAACAAGTTTATTATTTTAATACTCCCACATTTTTATATAAGAATACAATAATCATTAATTATAGTCTATAGTTTACGCAATTGTACATATTTAATCAAACCCAACAACTGTTCAAAAAAATATAAGTTAACTTATTTTTTTATTAGTCAGCAAAGCATCCGAAACCACAATCCAAACGTCGGATCGTAGTTAAATTACATATAAAATAAGTTACGTCATATCTTTGGCGTTTTAAACCGTTAATAGTATTTAAAAATTAAAAATTGTAAGGTCTATAACGCTGTAAAACTGTTGAATTTCTAAAATGCACGTATGATAGTGTATTCTGTAAAATCACTAAATGTACATAAAATGAAAATTAAAAATTTTAATTAATTATGATTTGTGTGACTTTAAAAGATACCTTCGTTTAGGGCAGCTATACGAATAGGTGAATACAACACTGAAACGGATCCAGACTGTCAGATGGACGTCTGTGCCCCCCCGTACCAGGATAGAAAAGTCAGGATCAAACGGATTCACCCCAGCTTCAACAAGCCTCCGTTTCACAACGACATTGCCGTAATTCTTCTTGATAGTCCAGTGCAATTACATGGTAAGTGGATTTCTAGAACCTCTATACATTTATTACGTTCCGAGTTATGTTAGGATTGGGCATAAATTTTGTGACGTCACTTGTAATTAGTTTAACGGGTTTGTTGGTCTAGTGATAGCTATATATGGCTAAAAATCAATTGACATCAGGTCCAAGATTTAGAGAATCTTGGTATTAAATAAGGGATTGAAAATCGCGTTACAATTTGTGTACAGCACCATGCTTAGAAGTTATATGGGTATTCACCTTCCATCAAGTGCTGGAGTTCAATTGCCCATCAATAGAAATAATTTATATAAGTACATGTGTATTCAGTACATATGCGTAAAATAAACAATATATATATCATAATAATCGAAAAGGGGGGGGCTACGGATATACATATATCAATATATATTCTTCACTTGATCATATATCGTGTCTTAGGTTGTGTTAAGTTTTAACCTCTGATGTTTTTAAATGTACATATGTATTTATTTAAAATGATATTAAGTATGTTCTTACATAAGTGTTATTTATAAATGAATCTATCGTTTTAGACTATGTCTCACCAATATGCCTCCCACGGAATGAACAACTATCGGATCTCAAAATCGGAGAGTTAATGACAGTCGCTGGCTGGGGCAAAATCAATATGACCACTGAAGAATTAGCGAAGATATTGCAGTTTGTTTCGGTTCGAATATATCTTTTCCTTATATTTTTATCACTTTTGAAATTCCCGTTATCAATGTTTATAGCATACATTAACTGGACGAGAGTACGTGACCAGCCGTGTGTACTACTAGTTTGACCGGAACGATAAAAAGTTACTCACTGGATTTGAATTTGAGACCTCAGAACGGATGGAAGCTGTAAAAGCAAGCTGTCGAGTTAATTATACACATAAATATATATTTTTTTGGATTATGCTAAAATTAATTTAAGTCAGATATTTGTAAATACTGTCTATAGTTTACGCGAGTAGTACACATTTAAATAAAATACTTTAACGGTTTAAAACGCGATATATTAGTAAACTTATTTAAAAACGTCGGGCCGAAGTTAAAAATCATTTTTCAATAAGGTTAAGTAATATATCGCGTTTTAAACCGTTGACGTGTTTTATTTAAGTCAGATATTTGTATTAAATTATTATAGATTGAAATTTATAGCACGGGCGGAACTAGAACAACAGCGTTTTTTGTTCTTCGTTTTATATGTGCGCGGAATTTTTAAATAGAAAATAATTCCTATAGATAAGTAAACATTATAGAGATTATTTTTACAGTTGTAATTAAAATAAGTATGTTTATTTTAATTTCAAGGTTCCTATAGTGAAGCCAGAAACCTGTGGAGCTTTCGGCAAGGGCTTCAAGCTATCAAGATCAGAAATATGCGCAGGAGCACAATTGAATAAAGACGCGTGCGGTGGTGACTCTGGTGGTCCGCTTATGAAGGTTGGCATAGAATATTATAGAAAAACCGGGTTTCATCAATTCATTCTTTGGCGTATATTACAAACGTTATATTATGTTGCTTTATTCCTTAACTTTTACCATGGAGTAGTTCCTCATTAGGATTTGGGGGTCCAACATTACACATTTTTTCCTGGTGAGATGGGTACCCAAAGCAGATTTCCCTCATCATTAATCAATTTAAAAATACAATTTGCAGGTATTTGACACCATCGATGGCCCTAAAAATTACCTGATGGGAGTGGTGTCATTTGGTCCCACCATTTGTGGTATAAGGAAACCTGGAGTCTACGCTTCGGTACCACAATTTATGAAGTGGATTTTGGATAATATAAAACGGTTATACTGATAATATTGTAACGTTTATGTATTGCATTGTTCAGAAAGAGAAAAATAAATACGTAGATTGTAAGTAGACTAGTGATTGTTAATATTTTACTGCGCCCTACATTTTGGAATTAATAATATAATTAATTAGACATTTAAATAAAGCACTTTAACGGTTTAAAACACGAAATATATTATATTATATATTATTATTTTTTATTTATTTTAACTAGGGTCCAACGTTTCGGATGCTCTGCATTATTATAAATAAGTTAACTAATATATTTCGCGTTTTAAATCGTTAAAGTGCTTTATTTAAATGTGTACTACTCGAGTAATAATATATAGTAATAAATAAGTATTTTCATTAAGTTGAGATAGACATATGAGGTGAATACTAAAAAAAAACAAATACGGTCCGTAACAATTGGCCTGAAAACACTATAGGTATATCTTGTCGAACGACCATGACAGACAGGAAAAAAAATCATTCTCCTTTAAAAAAATATTTAAAGTGTTGGGAAACCCTAAAAATATTAGCAGCATACACATTATATATTTGCTAATAGAAATAAAAAGGATATTTTATTTCAAAATAAAGTCTATTTAATTTAGCAACACATAAACAATACTACAATTAAAATAAATAAGACTCTAATGCAGTCTATAGTTTACGCGAGTAGTACACATTTAAATAAAACACTTTTACGGTTTGAAACGCGATATATTAGTTAAACTTGTTTGAAAATGATTTTTAACTTCGGCCCGACGTTTCGGATGCTTTGCAGCAGCCGTGGTCACGGGGAGACTCCCCGTGACCCAACTGCTGCAAAGCATTTTCAAATAAGTTTAACTAATATATCACGTTTTAAACCGTTAAAGTGTTTTATTTAAGAGACTCTAATGATTTTGTCGCGATCCTATTATTAGACTTTTCGCTTAGAACAGCTTCCGTTTCTCAGTACTATATGACGAGATATCCCGGATTCAAATCCCGGTAGACCATTATAACACGTTTGAGAATAGCTGTATTCACAATGCAGGACCATAGACATAGAGCAAAGACTACCGACGTTTCTCGAAACGATTAAAACCGGTTTTTAGATTACTGGGTGATGTTTATAGACTAAACACGAGCGTTGGTATTTACCAGGCTTTATTCATTCATAAACTTGCCTTGTTCAAAACCCATGTGTAGTAGACCTATGGCTTTGCCCTAATAATTATTATGACATGAATATGACGCATAGCATGACCTATGCATACGGACCGCAAACGGTACCTACTCGTTAGTATGAGCTTGATGTAAGCGCGAAACGATAGTGTGTTGTTTTGTTATAAATGTACAAGTTTAAATTTTAGTCAAGAGGCAAAATGCGTACACAAAATTGCATATTATGGATCTTTTTAAGCACATTCGCGTCTAGTATTTATGCTAATGCAATAAGAGACGCTGGCGGTGAGTGCTTTTTATTAATAATTAATGCATTAAGTGGTTGTTCTCGCTCTATACATTGAGATGTTATTAATAGAACATTTTATTATAAAGCAATGGTAACTAATGTTTTGTTATAAGCCTGACAGCGTTTGTTGTGACACCTGGTTGCTTAGCAACCAGAATGTATTTACCGAGCCGTGGTAAACTCAAGGTCTTACGTCTGTTCATAAAGCGATCGTTTGTCTGTTTATTTGATAAAAATAACTCAACCGCGCATGTAAAGATGAAAAGGTACAGAATAGAAAATAAACATATAATATACTCTCGTCAAAATCTCATTTACCATCTGTTTAAATTTATTTTTTGTCTTTTTTTTTGTAAATTTAATTACGTGATACCCGTTAATAAAGAGCATAATAAGTAACTTACCGGTAAAGCGATACCTACATATATGTGAGCTGTCAAACTTATCATTAAAACTTACGTATACTACACGAAATATACCACTGAGCTAAATTAACATGCGTATTTCATATTATTTTCCTTGTTTTATCTCATTATTTAAATGTAAACAATTTAGTCTATAATAAATGGATAACGGGCAAAACCCTTAGTTAAAATATTATTTACCTAATTTAGTAACTGGTAAATACGTAATGTAATATATAGCATGGGCGACATATTTCTGTCTGTTTTGATGTATTTTAAGGAAGAATTGAATTATTTGAAAGTAGAAACTCATTACATTTTTTACGTAAAAACATATTAAATTTATTTATATATTTAAAAAAAACGGCTCAAATTGTGCATTAAGGATAGCTCCTGGCTTGTGGCTTCACCACTTTTAAAAGAGAGCGGGTTTTCCTTGCGGGAAGAAGTTTAAAAAAGTGACAGTGAAAGTTACTTACTCTAAATGAAAGTATCGTCAACACATACACACATCGCTCTTAGAACGTATTATGTTTCCCTTTTACAATAACAAAGTAAGTTTTACAAGTTACGTTCGTAATTTAAAAAACTAAGGAGTTTGACAAGTCAAGAGCTGCATAGCTTTTAAATAAATCACTTGAACGGTTTATATTATAAAATTTTTTGGAATTATCTTGCTAGTCTCCCCTGACAAACGTCAGGGGGAGACTAAAGCCATAGCTGCTTTCCAGGTGCCAATAAAGATACAAAATTTGTAGGTCTTTTAAGCTAAACGAATATTTTTATTTTTCAGAAAATCTTCCCCTCGACACGCCATGCCAAGTACGCAATAGGTATGTGGGTGTCTGTATACTACTTGTGTCATGTAAACCCCTACAAAATATAACAATAAGTGACGATATCATGGCATTATTATCGTGTGGAAATGAAAATATTTTTTTGAAGGTGAACGATTATTATTTACTGTTATATTATTATAAAAATTAGATAAAGCTTACCTTTAAATACCTTCAAGTTATTGTGGTCTTGGATTCGAGACCCGCCTCTAGTGGCATCTAAGATACACTTACAATATATGCTTGTATAAATAATATATGCCTATATATTAAGGTACCAAGTATTCTGAAGTGTAGAAAACGTTGTGTTCGATTGGAGGAAAAGAGCAAACTTTTAAATAAAACACATTCAACGGTTTAGAACACGGAATATATTAGGTCACCTATTTACAATGTATTTTCTCTACGAACCCGTGACCAATGCTGCTACAAAACATCTGATGCGTCGAGGCGAGGTAAAATAAATCGTAAATTAGTACTAATAAAGTGGTTTATTTAAATATGTGCTATTCGCGCAAAACTACAGACCTTATGTAAAAGCGACAACCAATTCTTGAAGCTCTTGAAGCCGTTTTTTTAAACATCAATTATTTTAGGTGTGTTGTCCTCGCCAACAAATAGCAGCTACAACACCAGCAGCAACGCCAGCAACAACGCCAGTGACAACGCGAGCAACAACACCATCAACCACAGAAGATTCGGTCATACATTTTGGAGATAAGGAAATCACCTCAAAATTCGAGAGCGAGAATTCAGAAGAAACTATAATGACACTAGAAAAGCAATCGAGACCTCAAGATAACTTAGCAATCCCATCAAGAGACATATGTGGTAAAATTTTCCCGACGAGGATTGTTGGTGGCGACGCAACAGCTATCAACGAATTTCCTTGGTTGGCACGCCTTAAGTATCGTTTAGGTGAGTTAATGATAAAAATAATACACTCGGCCTACCCTGAAAATTTCTCACAATTATGCTACTACTTTTACATTAACAATTTTAACGGTTTCAAACGCGCAATATATTTAAATTTTCAATTTGCAGCAATTGCAGCTGCAAATCATCCGAAGTAAAAATAGGTTAACTGTTTTATTTAATGTTTACTAATCGCATAAACTATACTCCATAGATAATACATGACTCTGACGAAGAAAATCTTTACTGAGCTGTTAGTTTTCAAGTAAATAGTAGAAAAAGTGGAGAAAACGACGTAAATTATTCATCCTCGTAGACTTCGGTTGCACGCCCTGCAAAAGCGGTTTAAAATACCCAAATTTATATATGAAAGAATGACGCTTCTTTAAATCATTTGAAAAATTTGCCCGATATTAGACATAACATACGTCTATCCTTTAAGATTATCTAGCAAAAACGACGGAACGCGACGTTGTGGGTAACAACAATAATTTGAAAGACAAATTTTGATGCCACAAAATAATTATTTTACGCAGACGAAGTCTTGAGAAACCAGAAAACATGTTTCAATCAGGAAGGCCAGATTATTAAAATTAATTGTGTTCCACAAAACGATAACAATAAAATTGATATTGCAGAAGATGGAACCGAACAATATGCATGCGCTGGAAATCTGATAACACATCAACACGTGCTAAGTGTAGCGCATTGTGTAACTACCCGTCGCGTGTAAGTACTCTTTATTCATTCGGCAAGAAATTTAGACCTTCTTAGCCTGTAGCCTTGGAGTCGTACAAACTTGTATTCCGCCCCCTCCATTTTAACAAGAAGTGGTTAACTGGTTCTATTCATCTAGCCTGAGTTGAAAATAAGCAGTTTGTTAAATGGTTCAAAGTATGGAAGTGCCGACGTAGGTACGAGCTCAATCAGAAGAGGTTTGGTCTGTACGATCTTCTACACTACGTGGGCAGTAAAAAAAATTAACATTGTTGGTTTCATGTTTGCCTATCTACCACTATAAAACGATATAACTTAAAGTTATAGGAGATCTATAACTTTAGGTTATGTCAAGATAATTGTTGCCCGATGTGCCCGGTTTTCAAGCTATGGGAAAATCAAAAATACATTTAAAACTACTTAACTATTTTCTTTAGGGTGTCCGTCCGTCTTGGAGAATGGGACGACTCAACAGATACTGATTGTAATGACGAAAATATATGTAGTGACCCACCCGTTGACCGAGGCGTGTCTGAAATTCGTGCACATCCTCACTTTGACAGGAAAGGTGCCAAAAATGATATAGCTGTTATTCGATTGGATGCACCAGTAAATTTTACGGGTTAGTAAAAACATTGCAACTTCATATACATAATAATATATTTAAATAAAACGCGATATATTAGTTAAACTTACTTGAAAATGATTTTTAACTTCGGCCCGACGTTTCGGACCGAAATTTTAAACCGTGTTTGTGTGTGTACTACTCGCGTAAACTATAGACAGTATTTACATAATATATCGATTTGTACTTTTGCGCAATCCTATTTTTTAATTTTGTTCGACCTACTTGTTAATTTATTTTATTGTATACTATTAGTTATAATTACAGACAGTTCTAATATTTTAAATTCACATTTATTAAACCTTTCGGAACTTCAGCCAGAGGGGCAGACTAAACAGCGCTTTACCAAAGTGCCACAAAATTTACTCATGATTATTATTTTACAGATTACATCCGGCCAATTTGCTTGCCAACAAGTCCCTATGCTGCCGCGCAAGATTATAATAGAAATACTGTATACGAGAGTGCTGGTTGGGGATTAACACAGTATGGTTAGTACTCATCATTACTTTATTTAGAATCTTTGTACCTCGCCATGGCTTACTTACATCAGTAAGTAATATTAACTTACATTACGTCATATGACGAAATCGCATTAGACCACTGCAGCCAGCTCCCTTCAGTAACATTGTAAAACAACATTCGCTCGTTTACAGGTGAAGTGTCGCAAATAAAACGGAAGATAAGCCTAAATGCTGTGCCCTATGAAATATGTCAAAATAAATATTCAAACACTCTTCAAGAGTCAAGTGATCCGCTAGTGATTTGCGCGGGCGGTGAAAGGGGAGTGGACACATGCTCAGGTGATTCCGGGGGCCCGCTTATTGCAGAAGTTTCGGAAGACTTTCAGAAACATTGGTATTTGTTCGGTATGACCAGTTTGGGTGTATCACGTTGTGGCTTGGAGGGTACTCCCGGACTTTATACTCGCATCACCAAATACATGGATTGGATTGAACAAAATATCACATGATGTTTTACAATTAAAATAACAATTGATAAATAAGCGTTTTATTCAAATGCAATCTTGATCTGACTAAACGTTGATTTACAAAGGCTATTGGAATTGCATGAAAGCAATATCAAATCACCAGGTAGATGTGCAGGCGTTATACATTAGATATATTTAGGTGAAACTTACTTGTAAGTGTAAATGTAAGAATTAACGAGGAAATGTACGACTACTAACTATTAAACATATTATTATTATTAGATTCCAAGTGCTGGTCACTAGCATCTTCTCTATCTTCATCATTCTAATAGCCATTATCTAAATCATTACAATTAAACCCTTTGTTTAAGAGCTTAGATATACCACGTTGTTCCTAAATTTGTACTCTTCGAGACACTAGGGTGATTACACCTCCCCTTTCAAGTCCAGTCTAGTACCAGCAATTTTTTAGAACAATTCCAATTATCGAAATAAAGTTTTACCAGGAATTCTGTCACCAGTCGAATGCACCAACTCCTAGACCAACGAAGCAGTTGATTGAGTGTATGTTGTAGGAAAGAAGTAATCAATTTCTATCTAAGCTATCTATTATGTCAGAATCCTCATACGATTTTTCATTTTTGTCAATTCTGTCTAGATATTTCATAACATTGTCCTGCATGTCGGGCGATAGGCAGGGACTGGGCATGTGGTACTTCTTCCTTGAATTTTTCTTTTTGGGGCTCTTTCTTGGTGAGATTTCTGTAAAGTCTATAGGTGTGTTCGGTGGTCTTGGTGCATAATACCGCTCGAAAAGCATCGGCTGCTGCTGTACCCTTCCATACATCAATTCCATTTCATGAAGGAATTCCTCTTTTCTTAAACGTTCTTCGTCTCTACGAGTTTGAAGTCTAATTGCTATATCCTCTTCATGACTGCAAAATCGTTAAAATTTACATAGCAAAACATGTAACTAGACAGGAAAATTATTCTATAATAATAATCTATTAAAGTAATCAATGTGGGTCCGTAAATAACGTCGATTACGTATTGTTGCTAGAATGTATTTAGGTATTAAAGTGTAGTAAAAATAAATAGGGATTTTCTATATGTGCACGAGACGCACTGGGTAAGAGATACGTAATTTTTGGACTTTTCTTAATGTTTTGTTGTTATAAAACTAATATTATAATTTCGAAAGGTATTTACTAAAGATATTTGACGAGCTTGTGGGTCCAATGCATGGCTAGATACGAAAGTGTCGTGAGTTCATTTTCGACACGGTCATGACGTAAATAGTTCTAACTATAAATAGCTCATTCTGTATTTTTTTCGAATTTCTAAATGTCGAAAGTCAAAATAGCAGGATAGCGCAATTTTAATAAGTTTTTTTAGGGCTGGGGTATTCACCCTTTCATTAAGTGATCCCTACGCAGATGTATGTGTAGAGATTTGACTACAAAAGCGCACTAATAGATGACGTGAATAAGACGTGATAAACCTACTTGTTTTTCACCAAATGCCAAGCCGGTTTCGCTCTTAAAAATCTATCTCTATACTTCGACTCGGTTACTCTTCTTTGCTCTGCTATTCGTTTCGCCGCCTCTAGTTCAAATTTCCTTCTAACAGCTTCAGCTCTCAATAGTGCAGCTAGGTTAGATCTCCCAACTGCTATGCTGTCCAAATCTAGCGCTGAATACGCCTTCGCAGGTTCAGACACACCTGGATTACTTCCATTGCTTTCTGATTTACTGTCTTGATACATTTTTCTTTCTAGGTTTTTCATCTAAAAATATATACGGATTCGTTAGTGTTTGCTAATATCAACAGGTCGTGGCATCGCTCCCCATGGGTTCCAACATTTCGAATAAATTTATAATTTTTCTAAAATATCTTGGACTATGTTCGGAAATCTGTATATTAAATGGGAGCGGTAGTTCCGTCCGAATCACGAACCACCGTTCATAGATAATAAAAGCCATCGTTTAATCGCATTTTTATTTCAGTCTGTAGATTTTCGAATAAATACTGTCTATAGTTTACGCGAGTAGTACACATTTAAATAAAACACTTTAACGGTTTAAAACGCGATATATTAGTTAAACTTATTTGAAAATGATTTTTAACTTCGGCCCGACGTTTCGGATGCTATGCAGCAGCCGTGGTCACGGGGAGACTGTGACACGGGTCTCCCCGTGACCCGTGTCGGGCCGAAGTTAAAAAATCATTTTCAAATAAGTTTAACTAATATATCGCGTTTTAAACCGTTAAAGTGTTTTATTCAAAAGATTTTCGAATATCCAAAGTTGAAATAGGTCGACAACACATCTTGTATAGCTATAATATGGCAGAGGTATTTCACCTACCATCAAGTGAACCCTCTCTCTCTTTCTCTCTGCTTATCTCTCTTTTTCTATCATAAAAAAATGATTAATAATCTATTGATTATGGAAACATTCCATTATAAGAGCGAGAAGCGTGTACAATGCGTTTGTGCAGTTGCTCTTACCATTGGGCTTGTCTTTTCTGTTCTAAGTAAGTGCAACGGTACGTAATACACCAGCTTTACCTGATTACCTTTTTGTCTGCCCTACTAGCTGTATTAAAATGAAACGGTTGCGGGCTTGTTGTGACAAAGCTGTCTTTACGATTCTTAGCTGACGTTCTGTGAGCTTTAGTAGGACTCGTTGATCTAAAATGATCCGATGATACAGAGGGACCAGCCGGTGAAGGATCTATAGGCAGGTCACTGTGAGCAGCTGGTGTAGATAATCGGCTGCGGTCGCGCATCATTGATCCTGGGAAACTAGCTGCTCGCAACATTTCTTCTGCTCTTATTCGACGATTCATCGATCTGATAAGTGGTAAACAATGAAATTAAATACAGTACGTCTACTGATGGCTTAAATGGGTTAGTTCTCAAGTCCTGTTTCAGGGAAACGAGAAATAGAATAGACATATAAAAATATTTCTTTTTCCTGTCCCTCTTCGAAAAACAGAATTTTATTAATTATAGATAACTAGAGACTGTACGTTGTACATAAAGTCCTTCCTTTTGAATCACTCTATCTTATAAAAAATCTGCATCAACATCCGTTGCGTAGTTTTAAAGTATTAAGCGTACATAGCGCGACTTTGTTTTATTCTATTATATGTAGTGATATACATAAAAAGCGGTGGATTAATGTAATTAGGTTACGTAATTTTTTAAGCTGTATTTTGTAAATTTCATAAATTATGATACTAAAATTAAACTGATTCAATGTTAGTACGCAATACTTACCGAAAATAATTATCTTCTTTGATTTTATCATAGAAATAATTGGAGAAAAGATTCTTCGGCACGGGCCGGGCTTTAAACCGTTTCTTCTTCTTACATTTGGGAAGAACTTGCACCGCTCTTTCGCAAACACTGTTGCCGTTTTCTTCTCGCTTCGTAAAACTGAAGGGCTTCATTTGGGCTCTTAGTTCCGCTTCACTATTGATTTTTGTAATCGCACGTCTGTAGAAATAGAAATTATGAAGGATTTACACGGGAGTACAACTGAGTACATAGTTTATGCTAAAATTATCACATTTATAAAGATTAAAAATTCAATAGTATGTTAAACTTCCATCTAGTATAGTAGGTGATCTTACTTTCATAAAATAAAGGCTACTTCTGAGTCTTTTCTATGCCTATATACGGAATATGGAATTGTACGATGTCCGAAAACTTTTACAAAACTAGATTGCGCTCTTATACTACTAAAATTAATTAAAGATCTACTATGCTACTAAAGCAATTCTAAAATACAAATCATATGTGAAAAAAAGAAAACAAAACAACGAAATGACAATAATTTAATACTAAGATTCTAGTGCAGAATAATATTCTCAACCTCATCGCTTGATCTTCAAGGATCTTGTCATATAAGGGTATACGAGACTCGATGGGCACCGGCCTGGCCTTGAATTGATTCTTTTCCAGTTTCCTGTTTAGCATGTCTTCGGAGAAAGACTTCTGTAGACCTCGAAGTTCATTCACTATTCGTTCTTCTTCATCACTAGAAATAAGACAAAGCGTTATATAGAGGCAATTGGAAGTATATGACATTCTTTCGTTATTTCGACAAAATCATCACTCTATGAAATATGTATATAATAAGTCTATCGCAATGGATTTTTTTCTGTAATGGTAGAATATGTTTATAATGAAATAAATAAAATATTTTTTTACATATTGAGCTTTAAATTACCGTTCGGTCATTTTAAATGGCTTAGGTATTGTTATACTTTTATTTTTACGTCTACGTCCATTTCTCTTTGTTCTTAAGGGACTAGTAGGCATACTTCGAGTTTTAAAATCATCATTGTTATCAATAAAAGTATTCGTATTGCATTCACCATCAAAGAATTTATTAAATTTTTCATCGACTTCATTTTTATTTTCAATTTTGTCGTCATGCCATGAAATAGAACACGCTGATTGGTTTCTTTTTGGCCTATCCATTTTTGTTAGTCCTTTCACAGACAAAGAGCTATGTTTTGTCGGAGATTTTTCGCTTTCTTTTTTTATACTCGATGTATATATGTTTGTATCTGAAAGTTTATTTTCTTGGTCCCTAACGCAATCATTATCATTGTTAACTACGATGCTATCGCCACACTTAACTCTGCTATTTTTTCTTAATTGAATAGTTTTATGTTCCTTTCTAACGCCCTTTCTGTTTGGTTTTACTTCTGTAACATGGTTGTCGTATTGCTGGTAATTTTTATCATGGTCGATATTATGTTCACTTGCTAAACCTAACATCTGCTTTTTCTTCTGTCGTAGAGACCTTAAAGTAGAGTAAAATTCACTTTCAGGTAAGTGGTTAATGTCGTTGTAGTCGGGTATACTGTGGTAAAAGTCCTTTAACTTTTTAGTGTCTAAGTTGTCACCACACATAGACTCAGTTGTTGACGAATCGATAGATAACTGTTCGTTTATTGTTTTTTCACTTCTTTCGTACGCCGTCTTTGGCATTTTGCTGTAGGGATCTAAAGGCACTCTCAAGCAAGAATTGGTAAATACGCTACATTGGTGCATAATTGGTCATCATTACCTAAGTATTATTAGTATATGAATTTGAATAATACAATGAACGTAAAATAAGTATTTGTGTTCATCGAGTTTCCATAGAAACTATAAGAACGCCTTCCTATTTCTATAAGAATTGTATTTAACAATGCCAAAAAACATGATCTGCTGTAAATTTAAAAATTATATTTATAGAAATGAGCCAATGTATTTTTTTTAAATGCACTTTTTTATTTTACCTTACTCGACAGCAATTAGTAAACACTAATTACCAATGTAGTGTTTTGGTTACGACCAATATAAATTTGTATAAGTCTAAGAGGATTTAAATTCTCTGTGTTATTAAATTTAATATAAAGAATACAGATATAGCCTGTTATTAAATGCTAAAATATATTATTTCGCTGTCTGTATAAGACATGGCTAAAAAGACTTGTTACTAAATCAGTTTTTCTTATCACATATTTTTAATAAGACATCTGACATTGACAGCAATTGATATAACAAAATACTCGGCGATAATAAATGTACGTAACATGGGATCTAAAATATTTTTTAATTTATAGTTTATCTGTTCCTTAGCTATTATTTCTTTAGCCAAATCTTCTTTGTCAAATAAATATAGCTTATATTACATACTAACATTATTCATAGTATCGAATCGCTAATATTTGTGTACGAGTAAATCAATTTATAGATCTTAAATATTCTCATTTAAATTTTTAACAAATTAAACTAGCTATAATGTCAGCAGTTCGAACATGCCCAGGTCTTTATTGTGGTCGCACTGAATTAGAAGAAAACACTTGGAGTGAATGTGGTGCCTGCCCTCGAGGATACAGAACAAATGCTTCTAGTTATTGTGTGCAGTGCACAGATGAACCAACGCTTTATGACTGGCAATATCTGGGTTTCATGGTTCTCTTACCTCTTGTTTTGCATTGGTTCTTCATTGATATGGTTGCGACTGGGAAAAAGTAAGTTTTACTTATATCAATATGTAATACTTAATTTATAGTATAGTATTTGATATTCATTTTTCTTTTTGAGACAAAGATTTTGTTATCATAATAATATTTATACAGCTTCCAATACACATACACATACAGATGGTTTTTAGTTAGTTTGAGTAGAGTAGCTTTAGTAATTTATTAGTAGTTTTTTATGTCATTTTTTTAGATGAAATAAATATGTGCAAGCCTCAAAATATTGGCCGTTTTCTCAAGAATAAAACATTGACAATTATTGTATTGAGAGCAAGTGTGGTGGATAATAGATTTAGTCATAAAAAACTCAGTGAAACTACTTTTACAGCTATGCTCACTAAGGCCAATCATGATTTCTTTTTTCTTAAAATATTAATAATAGAAGTAATATCACTTTTCAGAAAAGGGTCAACTGTGACACAGCATTTTTGTGCTTTATTGGAGATATTAATTGGAACAGTTGCTGCTTTGCTAGTACTGCCACCAGCTGGATCTCTCGCTCTTTTTGTATGCACTCCGAAGGCTCTGTCTGATTGGTATACACTCCTACATAATCCTCAACCAGATTATAAAGAGACGTTGCACTGCACACAGGAAGCTGTGTATCCGTTGTAAGTAAGAAAGAAATATTAGTCTTTTATTAACCGAACTTAAACAAATTAATATTTTATTTTACTTACTTCACATGCATTGTGGTTTACTCTCAGTTTAAATTAAACTGTTTTAGCAGTTTGAAACGTAATATATATTTAACTTTTTTTAAAATAGGACTCTCATATTATAGTAAACCTGGAAGTGATAATAATTCATAAGATAACATAAGCTTTTAATATTTTCAGGTATACCATCATACTTTTGATATACGGCTTCAGTTTGTTACTGACTGTGATACTGAGGCCTGTAGTCCTTGCTTGGCTGAAGAACAGTCCTGGTAAAAAGGCTATTTACTGCGCTTTGTACTTTTACCCAATTCTTGTTCTCACACACACAGTAGCTGCTGGATTGATATGTAAGTTTACCTTTTCTTCTCTTTATGCGGCCTTAAACGCTTTTTGGGAGCATTGGAAATGAGTTCTTAGTGTTATCGAGATGAATTCTAGACTTACTAGTTAGAAACAATTGGTCTAGGAAGAATTGTGAATTATTAAATAATAACTACTTATATTATAAGTGTTACTAATAGACTATCTACTATAATATATAAACAAAATATTACTTTAAAAAATTTGTATTGTTAAACTATAAAACAGTGCGGGTAGGACTAAAAGCAAATTACCCTAGTTCTTGAGTAAGAGATTTTTTCATAATCATTCAAGAAATAATAAAAAAACTATAATTATGACATATAGCTAGCATAGCTAGTCAAAATCAAAAATGTACAGTGTATGCAGCCTATATGTCTCAGTGTACCTGTATATTTTAATGTTTTTCGATATAACTCTTCCAGATTGTGCATTCCCCTATATAATTATAATAATATCAATGATGACGTCAGCGTCACATTTCTCAAACAAGATGGACCAATCTGCGCCGGCTTTACTTGTCTCTTCAGTTAAGAACTCAAGGAATTTGATAATCCTGTTGGGCCATTGGCTTATACATGCATACGGGATAATATCATTAACTGGTTTCAAAGAGCTGTGGTATTTAACTTTGGTACCAGCACCAGCATTGTTTTACATACTAACAGCTCAATTCACTGATCCTTTAAAAATACACAATGATTGACTAGCACGAAGCACTCTGGAGAAAATGGTGCTATTCTGATGTTTGACTCCTTGTGAAAGTCAGGAGAGTTACTCAAGACTTGACAGTGATGTTTAAAGTTTGACTTTGATGTTAAGGAATCAGCTTTGTGAGTTATTCCTTGGTTTTGTTCGGTTGACAGATTTATAATTAAGTAAGTGGAAAGAGAGGTATAAACAACAGGATATAAGAAAATAGGTCGACGAATCTTATATATTGCTGAGATATATTCACCTTCCAGCAATTGAATACCATGCTTGAAGCCTAAAGGTATATTTTTCTCAACAGCATTGTAATGTGCGTGTAATTTTTTAGCTATATATTCAGAGAATATTCTGTCTGTGGCTATGTGTGGGCCACCGAATAGAAATAAAACTCTTCTACTTCGCAGTGGCTCTTTCTGTTTCCATTGCATCAATGCCAGCATTTAAAGCACTTGGGGGTAGACCTGCATTGGGCCTTTGGCAAATTGAAACAAAAATGGGTAAAACAGTATAATGGAAAGACCTTACATAACAAATCTTTGCCATCAAAAGTAATGACTACTGTTTTTGCGAGCGTGAATTTAGGTTTACCCTCAATAAAAGCTTTATTATTCCCATCTGTAAAATATTTACACAATATAGTAGTACAGATATGTTTTTTTTTTCATCAGTCCACATCTAGGAACACCCCTGGTCACGCCAACACTTTGACCTGGTATTTTTTCTCTAAGGCAGAATTTTCAATTTGTTTCCACCATATGCGATTCTATGCAATCGAAATCTATAATATAACCTTCCACATTAATTCCTATATCATCAATACATGTGATTCCTGGATATTTAACCCTCGAGTGTCCTCTGGCTTCAACATTGGAAAACAATGTATTGTTATGTACATATAATAATATGATAAATACACATATAACGAAATAGACTTAACTATTAATTTTTCTGCAATAATTCATAGTTTAAAGTTTGCTAGGTCAAAGTAAAACTCCACTTTGGACATTAGTTTTACATATCAAACCAAATCATGAAATTGAATTTTGTAAATATATTGTTAATTTAATATTTATTATGCGACATACACCATAAACGGGGGTTTATGATAGGTATATGTCGCATACGAAATTGGCCTTACAATACTAATATGAGTAAATACCTATGTAAGTTATGAATTGTTTTTACTAAAAAAAATATTGTGTTAATATTATAATTTTTTTTAATTAACTCTGTATATAAGTGTTATACTTAAGGTTCTTGTATATTGTTTAATTTATTAAAGGAATTATTTAAATTTAGAGTTATTGTAAACAAATATAAAATAAGAAAGTTGGATGACGCTTTGTTTTATTTCTACACAAAAATATTAGATGGGCATGCAATATACTTTGTAAAGATTGTTCTTTACAAACTGGTGTAGGAAAGGAATTTTTTAAATACTGTCTGCAGTTTACGCGAGTAGTACACATTTGAATAAAACATTTTAACGGTTTAAAACGCCATATATTTTAGTTAAACTTGTTTTCTAGTGTTTTATTTAAAAGGAATTTTTTATTGCCCCTGAATTCAAACAGGACCTATCGCGCTAAGCCCAAAATTAACTCAGTTTACGATCTCTTCGGAAAGTAATAAATTGTGAAGGTTTAAATATCTAATGTCTTCAGTTATAATAATCAGGTTTATTGATTAAATATTTAAAAGATGCTAACAGTCAAGAGTCTATTACATGACAACATTGTATACAACTCCTTTAACAGTAAAATTCCAACTTACCTGCAATCTTTCCGTGTCTAAAACGTCAAACGGATAATGAGGCTGGTTGCTATTCGTTTGGTGTTTTAAACTTATTTTAAAGCTTTACCAAACTCTTGCGTTTAAGAATCCAGTCGCTGCAGAAGTAAAGGACTGGACTACGTTTGACAAAGTTGCGACTTTTTTAAATTGTAAGTAAAGCAATTTTACAATCGAAGAGTCGGGAAGGCACGTCTCAACTTTGTCAAGTTTTCCAAGAGAATACTTTATGCGATAGATGGCTAATAGCCGCTTTCGTGAACCGGGGAACTGGCCGGTTTTAAACTTTAAAAAAAGAATACCGAAGCTGTTCAACTTTCGGAATTTAAAATCGAGAGGTGTAAACTTTAGCTTTGCACTACTTACTTTCAACTTACGAGGTTGCCTCCGTATGGTAAGTAGTTAGTTTAAGGTGTAGTAAAGTAGGATATGACGTATAATCGTAAAACAAAACTAGATTTTTGGTATAACCTAACTCGGTTCGATAAAAAAAAACTAATAAAAAATCTTAAACTTTGCATTATTATATGAACGATATTTATTTAATAGGTAACAAGAAGTATTTCTTGTTATTTGTGTTTGGACTTTACTTTTTTTATGTTAAATGTTTTTTATTTATAGCTATTGTGGCTACATAATAAAAGACACTCTTAAATATTATTTAGTTGTAGAGTTATAGCTATATATATATATAACTATAGGCATTGAATAAGAACTGTAGCACATACCCTATTATATTTTTTGTCTTCACTTTGTTATCTACTTATACTTCGAATGTGCTTTTCTCTGTGTTATCTAAAATAAGCGAGTAATAAAATCACCTCTTTTATAACGTATATCCAGAAATCGAAGTACAATGTGACTGCACAGTTCGCTACATTGGTGATAAAAACTAACAATGAAGGCTTTGACCTAATAATAAAATTTCCAGCCAGACCGATTTAGCTTTTACCCGAATACAATTTCAAGTGGATAGAAAATTCGTGTATGACAGGCAAGCAAAGGTTTCTCTAAGCAAAGTGAAAATCCTATAATCTATTTATATTCGCTGGCCTATATTTTGGCTTTCGGAAATCCACGGACTTAAACTGTAATGCTGATTTACATTTCGCAGTTTTCGTTTCAAAATGTCGATATTTCTATTTATTACCGCCCTGATTTTTAGACGGCAATTGACAAGTAGAAAATTTGAAAACATTATTATAATTTTAATCTGTGATCGCATGTGCCATGATATAAATTAAAATCTATCTAGAATATATCGATAACACGGCCTTGAACCGGCGTCTACAGCGTCTTAGAATATATGTCGTTAAATTTATAATACTATTTAGAACCTAATTGCAATCGGTGGGAAGCGAATGCACGACTGTGGTTAGCCATACACTACTGGACGAACGCGGCAGTCGGGAGCATACAAACATAACACGACGATTCGATCTATAAACAGTAACAGTTTTAGATGTCGGAAATTGCTTCATCGTCGTCAGCATTCGCAATTTAACAAGTCGAACAAACAATTCCCTGCGATTGAAAAGCCTCGCGTGATTACCTGCTACCATTGGAAAAAGGATTTTATTAATCTCCACGGGTTTGTGTATTGAAAATGTTAGACCGGCCACGCCACGTCTAACATAAAGTATAGAACATAACGAGTTCTCATTATTCTCATTGTTACATCGGTTTTTTATCTGTTCGATTTCATGTTTGAGTGATTTGTGTTTTACCGCCCTTTTTTATTGCTGCATTATTAGACATAGACAACCTTTTTTTAAGTATTTCAATTATTTAACTTAGCAAAATAAAAAAAAATTTAAATCGATTCTCTTTTAAATAAAACACTTTAACGGTTCAAAACGCGATAGTTAGGTACACTTATTTATGAAAAAATGATTTTTCACTTCGGCCCGATGTTTTGGATGCTTTGCAGCAGTCGTGGTCACGGGGAGACTGAAATAAGTTTAACTAATATATCGCGTTTTAAACCGTTTAAGTTTTTTATTTAAATGTGTACTACTCGCGTAAACTATGGACAGTATTTAAAATGAATCTCTTTGTACAAATAAGTACATAATTAAAAAAGGTTTATTTTATTTTATTTATTGTATTTGCAAATGAAAATAAGAGACGAAATGCGACATGGACTTATATTATAACACGTTAACCAACAAATACTTATACATTACATTAAAAACAATAAGTATTAAATAAGACTAATAATTTTTTAACCTAATTTTACCCATAATTCAGATAACTACTTAAAACAATTACTATGAACATATATCATATACATATACGAACAAGAAATAAACACGAATTCCTTTATGAGTTCACTATATCAAACAAAATGAAAAGGTCACAACAGGAAATTAAAATTTATATAAATTAAAAGTATTTATTTGAGTACAGAAAAGATGGCAACATTAATTAAAGACTGGTTATGCCGTAATTGCCGAGGGTTCTATGAATTGTGGCTTCGAAAGCCGTACATCACGGGCCACTAATAAGTGGTTAGCCGCGCAGAGGCTTCAATTCAGGAGCAAAAATATTGAATATTCGCAACCGATGCGGCGGTGGGGTTCGGGGTGGTCCCCCGGTCGGTCCATTAAACCCCCCAGCGTTATACGCCGGAATAGTGTGCAATAAAATGCGAACGCCGGCCACTGGCCGCAGAAAAAATATGCCCTAAAATTATTATTCTTTTGAACTAGAACGCATATGCACGAGTATTCATATGCTGAAAGCTTGACGTTCCTATAAAAATTGAGGATGCGCAAATATAACTTTATTCGATTGCGGAAATTAAAATCCTTTCATGGTGCTATAGAAAACGCCGCAGTACTTTTAAATACTTCAAGTATTTATCGTAAATATTAACGGCGTAAATATTATCGTAAATATTAAAAGCTATAGTAATTTTTACAGTCCTGTACTGTCTCCTTGCTGCCATGCTAGCGATGTAAAGTTATTACCTAATTTATAATTTTTATAAAACATTTCGGACTTCTAGAGTCGTCTGGAAGTCTAGAGATTACATGGGTTGTAGGAACATAGACATTCCGGGTCACGATCCACCGTCCACAGTTGATCCACGTGAATTCATATTATAAGACGACTAAGAATATAGATCTGATCTTTAAAAGCCTCCTAAAAGAACAGAAGAAATAGAATTCCTATGGGCCTGTATGCCCGCCGTACATCAAA